AATGTCAGAAGCTTTTTACTCGACAAATCAGGGTCTGCCCTGAGTTACCTGCTTCCTCTCAGTCCTTGTGCCAATCACACCAAAGGCTGACATGGTGCCTGGAACCCTGGTTATCAGGCTCATAAACTAGCTGAAGTTGCTGAGGCTACCAAGACCTTTTGTTTCCTGTTACTGGGTGGAGATAGTAATTCTTTCCCCCCCTCAGGAAACAGTGAGGACAATACTTCTTGTGATAGTTAGGTGCTCAGAAGCTGAACTGCTGATGGTGGCTCACATACCATCCTTGTACACCTCCCACCACTCAGTTTCATATCTCAGCATTTCATTGGCAGCAAGGCCTTGTCCTCGGAGCATTCCTGGTACAGAGGCAGCTGCCAGCACCCTCACCTTGAACATGGAGAGCCAAGGCACAAAGTATACCAAAGGATTCATCCCAACCAACACAGCACGTGGGTCAGGGCATGGGCTGGATCCTGACTTGGAACCAACTTTTTGTTTCCCCATCAGCCCTTCTGTCCTGGGCAGGTGGCTTTGATCCTGGAACTTCTTTACTTGTGGTACATCAGCATTCATGGTTCCATCTGGATGTGGATACATCCACGTTCTCAAGTTCATGGGTAGATAACAGGCAAGTTACTTTATAAGGTCTATGCTCAGTTATAGGAGGATTAATATAAACAATGATGAAGTAAGGCGTTGTATGGAGATAGATGAGGGAAAATTAGGTTGCAGTTTCATTAGACATATTTAGACAAAAATATGAACTCCAGCTCTCCTCTTCCTCCTGTCCCCGCGCTCCCCTACATGTGCTTTCTGACTCTTGCATGCACTGGATCCCTCCCTGAGTCTAGTTAACTCTACTAGTGCAGAATACCTCTGTCCCAGAAGTACAGCGTGGCAGTGGAGTGAAGAATTGGGAGGAACAAGAGAGAAGACACGGAAAGTGACTTTTTCCTTCGGGCTGTGACAAACCAGTAGATCAGATCATTAGCCCATGAAACCACAGCATTGTTTACAAGAATTCACTAGGCAAAAGAAAAGTAATTCCATACCAAAAGCACATGGAGAGGAGCAGCCCAGGGCAAGAGAAGAAATTGCAGAAAATGTGGGTGCGCACAACAGAACAGCTTCTTAAGTCACTCCATCCCAGTGCAACCCGGCACTGACACAAAGCCAACAAAAATCCCATCCCATATTACTTTGAGAAATAAGGAAATTTCTCACATTATTTCCTTTCACACTGCAGCTGGATCAGAAATTAAGTCCACAGTACAGAGCATTGCATTTTTATCCAGATTCTTAAACGAAAGTGACTATGATAACTTTCAGCTCTCCCTGTTTCTTTCTTATCAGTACTTTCCCAATAAAGCTTTTTTTCAGTTTCTGAGAACTGCATTTTTTTCTTCCAGTCTTTGTCTTTGTTACCTTGAACTTGACAGCTGAGTTGGGTAACTGAAAGGTCACATTTTTAACATGACCTGTTGAATTCCTGCTTTCCCAATATGTTTATTTGCACTCGAGTACCTCTCCCTAAATGCTGTGTCTCTAAGAAGTCTACATTAGCAGAGCTTTTAGATCTTATGGGCGTTTTGGAGAACTCCAGAGATGGCCTCAGCTTCCGTATCACACTCTAATGTAAGCCCATGCAATATTAAAAAGAGGCAGAAGCAGTTCAGGGCCAGATAGTGCCTCTTCTTGGGATCAAACTACAAAAGAACTGAAGCTCTTTTCCAAGCCCACACACACACACACACACAAATCACTCATGTCCAACCTAAACCCTCTGGAAGAGGAGGCCCCAATATCTTATTGCTACTATCCCTCCAGCTAGGATTTACATGGAGAACATAACAGTTTTGATGTTTGTATCCAGCAGGGACACCCAGCACCACGTCCAGGTGGCTTTGGGAGCTCCCAAGGAGAAGAGCCCACAGCTTCTGGGCTCCGTCACCCACACAACACTCATTCAAGAAATGCCTAGACACAGGCAGAGGGTCAGAAAATGGCCACCACTTGACAGGACATTATTTGGATGCTCACCAAAGCATGCCAGTTGGGTGTGGTGGCAAGGAACAGTCCCTGCCCTTGTTGGGCAGCTGTTTACTTGCACAGGCATGTGCACTAAGCATGAAATATAAATAGTTATATCTACTAATGGGGAATGGAAACTGTCCTGGTCATTGGTTTTGATGTATTTATGGCTGCTTTTAACGTAAATCTACATTTTCAGAGCTAACGGTCCAAGCTTGCAGATAATTCTCTTCTTCCTCTACCCTATTCTCTACAAAAGTCAGAAGTCAGAAGCAAATAGATCCACTTCTCTTGTCTTCTAGTGTCCAAAACGAATTGGTGGGTGCAAGTGTGTAACACTCACTGTTCACACCAAATTGCAGCCATAGCTGCACGTGTCTGAACACCCATCCAGAGGCTCATGGAGCTACTCCTATGTCAGCAAGATCAGAGAACGGCTTCCACTGTTTAGTTCTTGGATATTTACTGGTTATAAATCAAAGAACCAACACCTATTGAGAAATCTGTGAAAGCATCTTTTTGGTCTGCATTAACAGCACTGTTCTGAGATAAAGCTATTATTTGAAAACATGACCTATTTTCATTTTGCATCAGTCTTTTTAACTGTTCTGAAAAGGAGAATGTTTATACAAATTTGCAAAGAAATGTGAACTCTCCTGCTATATTTACATTTCTTTGTTCCAAAATGTATTCCTCTTGTTGAGATTCCAGCAGACAAGGAAAGCAGACACAGCGGTTACTCTCCAACGTGAAACTTAAAACCACAATCTCCCGCTCAGAAAACACAGAATGAGTCACAGGAAGGGGCCACTTGCTTGCAAAACTCATTAAAAGCAAGGCAAGGCAAAATGGATTTCCTGTATCAATAAATAGATTGCTGGCAGTCAGCAGAACACCTGACAATGCTAGAGGATAAAAACCAGTCCAAGAGTAGCCATTAGAAAATGGATCAATTCTTTAGCTTGAAAACTGTATCTCCCCAGTACCAGTTGGATTTCTTGGCATCAGTTGACTCAGTCCAGCAAAGAGCTTCAGAATATGCATAAGTTTGAGTGAGGGTTGCTGAGTGTATGCTTAAATAGACTGTGGTTATTTTCCAAAGTAATTTTACTGTAAGGGTGCACTTGTGGTACTGCAGAGCTATAGATGCTACAGAGCATATAGATGCTTTGTTTCTTGATTTTACGAAGAAGGAAAAAACATAAAGAAGCTCTAATCCTATCTAAAGTTAAAGTACAGCTGTAGTTGCAACTTCATTTTGCTGTTAGCACAGTAGCACTTGGACACTTCAGCAGGGATTTCTTTTTGGTGAATCTGATTCTCTCCTGCTGGGCAAATGAAGACAAAAGGGCCTGATCTCCTACTCTGCTCAATGCACAATCATGGGATTTGCATCAAAACTGCTTAGGATGCATCTCAACACCTGGCTCAGTACAACCAAGATTCAACACTGGCATGGAAATAAGCTGCTTTTAGCCACTTACTTGGCTTTTGTTCCTTTCCTCTAGTTCCTCCTGGAAGAAAATTCATTTCGCCTTTTGCTTTTGTTTTTCTCCATTACATCCCAATGGCTGAGAAGGTCTTGATGAGGATCTCTCTCCAACAGAATCTCTCTGTATCACTGCTGAGTTTTCTTTAGAGCCAACTTTGTGTCTCTTATTTGCAACTAACCTCCTCCATGCATCACTCAGTCACAGTAGCGGAATAAAGAGACATCAGGCACAATAATAAGGACTATCATAGGGTTACAGCACTGTGAGTATAGGCCCTTCAGCAGCATTTATACAATAAAAATAAATCAGTAACAATTAATACAACCAGGTTTAACCTTTCTGCATATTCAGAAATTAGTTGAAAGCTGCATTTTTAGGCTCCTGGCATCAGTAGTCTTCTGCCGCTTGCAATAATCTATTCTGATGTACTTGGTGGTATCTGCAACACAAATTAAGACACTTATTTAAAAAGAAACCAATTAACATAGCATTCTGTCTGGGAATATTCCCTACCTTCCATGGCATCAGAAAATAATGGTCTTTGCTCCTCAGGAGATTTGCTCCCCCGACTTTTCTACCTCTAGTGTTAATTAGATATTGCAGGAGCAATGAATATGTCCTTATAAAGTTTGGTTTGCTGAGACAAAAGCATAATTCCTCTGACTTTTAATTAAAAAAGCACCTTCATTTCAAAGCCTGTCTCCAGAGCTCTAGTGTAAATGTTTATTCAAGCTGGAGACATACAGAAAAGAGAGAAGACTGAAGAAGCAATGAGTGCAGGCTGCCCAAATACGGCTGCTTTTCTATTTTTAACACGGAACTTTAGCTGCTACAGAGCCTTATCAACCCCAAACATCTTTGTTTTCATATCAACACCAGCCTGACACTAAGGCTGTACTTAGCTTGCTCAGCAAACCCAGCAGAGGGAGCAAAAAGCAGCTTTGCGTTCTCACACACTGAGGAAATGGTTCATCTCCAACACAACGACCAATGACAAAGAGAAAAAGAAAGGGAGGGAGGGGAAGAGGGAGGCTATCAAGTCATTACTATTAATCACAATGATCCCATTCAATCAGACTGTTGGTCTTCCAGATCATGCTAAGAATTAGACAAAAAGACAGATGAAGAAAAATCTGAGGTGGTATAAGATTCCTGACCGCCCTGTTCACTCCAGCTCCTGTCTTGTTTACTCTTGGCTTCCAGGTGCATTCTCAGATCCCAGAACAGTGAGAGCCCAGAACCAGGCCTTGTCTTTCTCAGACTCTTTCCAATTGAAAAAGCTCTGGATCAAACGCTGTAACAGCAAAAATTTTGTAAGTGCCAGAAGTTTCACTGGACAGCCCCAGTATGAGACAGGCAGCTGAGAGCAGATATACAAACCCTGTGCTTCATAGTTTCAGCAGGTCTGCAAAAGCACTCCTGCAACATCAAAGCATACAGAAAAAGAAAAACAGTAGTCAAAATTTTTGTATTTGCGTTTATTACAATATATAGTTCTATCATTGTTGCATTCAGCAGATCAAAATGAGGTGTTAAAACGATTTTCATCATTGCAGTAGCACATACATATACAGAGTAAATACTGTATATAAATAGGCTGTGACATAATAACCCATATCTACAAATAAAAATACCCAGTACCCTCTTCCTCTCACCCTATATTACAGCAGTAACATTTTATCTTACACACAACTAATGCACCAAGCGTGGTATTCTGTCACTCAAATGACACAGCTGGAGCAGTACAGTCATCAGCTCCATGAAAAATAAACATCAGTCACTTCTCACTGCTGCACGTTCTAGTTTATGTGTATTGTATAAATAGAACATGCAGCGATTTCACGTGCCTGCTTATTTATGTTCACCAGATATTCTTTCTGTAACAGAAACCAGCATTACACTGAAAGTTGATTTTTTTCTTTCACAGAAAGAGTAGGAATTTGTTAAACCATCCTTTTTTTTTTTTTTCTTCTGTATGAATTAACAAAGCAGTTCAAATATTATGCATGAAATTGCTCAGCTACCAAACCAAGATATCTTATTCTCTCTTCAAAAGTTTGACAATGTTTCTAACAGGCCAAAACTTGGATTTTCTTAACTATCTTTTGAGTCAGCAATTTTGATAAGCACAACTTATAATATAAACACATTTGTTTTGCTCTCCAGCTATATTTAAACTTTCAGATACAAAGGGGGATATACCCTATGTCATACATAAGGCGTTAACATCACAGAACCATAGAAATGTTGGTCAGAAGGGACCCCTGGAGGTCATGTAGTCCAACTTCATGCCTGCAGCAGATGTTTGGCAATACGAGCTCAAGTCAGACCCAGCCCTCTTAACCAAGTCCAGAAAAACTCCAGGTGGGGATTTCACAGCATCTCAGGCCTACCTGTACCGTGTGGCTCTATGCCTAAGAAAGTGACTGAATTAAAACGACTCCTTGTTCACACTACCATTTGGGTTGAAATACACTCCAATGCAATAAAAAATAGGGACTGTTATCTGGGATTGTTTATGTCATAAATAAAAACCACACAAGCTTCAGTTGCAGATATCTCTCTGGGAATTTTTCTTATGGTGGAAGTTGCTTTGTGCAAATATAAGAATAAAAAATTAACAGCTTCTTACTGAAGAGAAGGATTGGGTTGGTTTAATTTTGCATCACAAATGGATTGAAACAGACTTTTGCCAAAACTGAATTAAATAGGAATCAGTGTATTCATCCATTAATTCAATCATTAGTGACAACTATAAACAGAACTTGAAAGAAAGTGTGGCTATATTTAGAGATGCAACCATTTCAGTTGGGTAACCTGAGATCCTCACTGATTGTCTTAAAGGCTTGAGAAATGTGATACAGGTTTTCTGACAGTCAATTTACATTTTCATTAAATTCGCAAGGAGAGCATAATCAGTCTGGGTTATTGAACACACGTTTCTTCCTCTTTGTGTTTGTCTATTAATTCCAGTATCTTCAAAGTGGATGTGCTCTGAACCAGCAACGTTCACGTAAAAAGGAAGACGGAGGGCTCACCACTGCAGCTGTGCACATTGCAGCTGTGCAAAGGGCTGCGCTTAGTAATTACTATTGAAGGCACAGGAAAATTGTAAATTGGCCCCCTGACATCTCAGATAAAGTCTGCAGCACTAAAAGTTAGAAAGCCCCATTTATAGAATTACCATCCTAACTATGTTGTTATCACTCTTTTGACATGCAAAAGCAGAATTTGTTGAAAGAGAACAAATGTGATACAGAACAGCTGTTCCCAAACCTTTGGGTGCTAACTAACCACAAACACATCTTAAAATTTCTCCTGGACCATTCGGCCTAAACTCTTAATTGAAAACACTGCAAAACAGCTGCAAAACGTGCACCACAGCCTCACAGATCACAAGCCGGCAGAGACCACAGCCTGCAAACCACTGTTTCAGCCATACTGAAATCCTACATACACAGAATCCTATTACGTCATTTTTAGTGTTTCAGAGAACAATTAGATTTTTAAATGTACTTTAAAAGAGGAAAAAAAACATCACTTTCTTAGCTACAAGTTCAATTTAAGAAGTATTTGGCATATGGTCATTTGATGCATACATTTTAAAGCAAAGTCCCACACTGTATAAAGGCAGATCATTTGGAAAACACTATCAACTGATCTGCAGTATTGCTTCTATCACACATAGTTAAATCTTAAGGCAGTTAAGAGCAAATAGCAAAAACAGTACATACAGATTGTGTCTGAACAAATGAGTGGAAAAAAAGATGGAAGAGGAGATTTCAATCTCTTGGAACAAAGTAAATGGCACTAAAAGTATCCATTCTTTATGATACAAAAACCAACAACAACCACCCATACAGTAAAAACCTGAGATGCATCACTCACCGGTATGAAAGTTCACATTTTAACCAAAAATAATGTTTCAAATACAACTATTCCATTTTGACAAAATCCTCAATTCTCTTGGCTCAGCAACGTCTTTAATCTCAGCACATGTGCTGAACAAGATGTCTTTACTGAGGAAAAAACAAAATCACTGAAGCCGAACCACAGACTTCAGTAAGATGGGCACTACATACAGCAGCCTGCATCCTACACCGTCACACTCATCTTAATCCAAATAGCTTTTCCTGAAGTGCAGTACTTCTCAATAAGAAGACTAGCAGGATCAGGTCATCTTATTTATTTTACTTCCCATTTATATTGCACATGATTTATTTCCACACAGAAAAGCATTATCAGACCAACATAGTAGGATGGAATAAATGAACACAGCTCCACTGGCACTGATGGCTACACCAGTTTACAACAGCTGAGGACCTAGTTCAGTAATTATTTCAGGTTCCTCTGGAAGCCGTCTGGTCCAATCCCCCTGCTCAATCATTTGCTCTTTCAGAGGGTGGAATCTGGCATACGGACTGCAACATGTATCACAAAATGATGTCGGGACTGGCAAGTACCTTCAACTCCCTAACTCACAGTGGTGTCTGATGAGATGAAAGACAACTTCAGTGATACACAAAGGATACAGAACCACTTAATGATCTTATGACAGATCTAACTGCAACTCTATCATCACTGCACTTTTATTTAAGTAATGAAACTGCTTGGCATGATTTGAGTTGCTGAGTGAAGAGTGAGGAATGTAACTCCCATTCCTGGTACGGCTCACTCTTGTCATCTGGAAATGTGACTAAGTATGAAGAAGCATTTCTAAGTTTGCTTACTGCAAATGAATACAACATCACAGATTCCAGCTGAACTGTCAACAGTAAAAGCCAAATGATGTTCTTGCAACGTGAGCTAGCGCTTTCTTTGCTCTGAGGCTGACAGTTTGGAGATGCAGTTAAGATGAGTCTGGATGTACATCCTGAGTTTCAAAAGGTGGCAGAGGTTCCCTCCAGTAGGTAAACTGACTGTAGGTATCAGAACAAGGGAAATCTGAAGAATGGCTTCTTTTCAGCAAAGGGAAAATATGGTCTACCACTTCACAAAGTCTGACATAGCTGAAAAACAATTAAATAAATAAATGCAATACCAAACCATTTCAGATCATAGTAGTTCCATTTATTTAAGTCCCCAGTCAAGACGCAGCTATATCTATATGAACAGATTATATTCCTTAAATGAGTAAAATTGAGTTTAATTTGGTATCTAGCTTCCAGACAGGATTCACAGTTCAGATACAGAACCCCCCTTTGCTTAGAATGAATACTTTTCTAGAAAGAGGTGCCATTTTCAGCCCAGATCACCTCTCAAGATATTCAGGACCCACATTTTGTTTCTTCATTGCTATCCAGCTTGGCTCAAACAGCACCCTACTCAACTGGTCATTCACATATATGCTCACTTTGGTTCCCCATCCATTAAGTGCAGTCTCAACTTTACACAAGGCCTTTTCTTTTCACTGAGATGTCTAAGCATCTTAATTAAAGGAAGCCTTCAGCATTTCCTTCACTTTTTTTCCTAGCTCTTCTACATGGAAGTCCCAGAAAAAGGAAATTTTGACAAGGTCACAAAAATGCAGATGGCTTCACAAAACTGGTTCATGTATTTCCTATGCAGATTAAGTTGTATGCTTGTTATTCTTTTTCATGATTAGACTAGATAGAATATGTTACACTAAATATGAAACAATTTCTGTATCAGTTTAACCAAAAAAAGAGTGGAAAGTCTGTATTTTACTTAATATTTTGTTTGGCACATCCTAAATATTTTTTCATTACTAAAATTAAATCCATCTTTGGGCAAGTTGAGTCATAGGTTATAAAAGGAAATTAATTTAGTCTATAAAGTGTAGGGATAAGATTACTTACGATGAGATGTTTGTCTTTGCGTGTTCTTGTATAAGTTCTCCTTTGGGGTTGACTGTAAATATTCGGTTTAAAGAAACACCCACTTGTTTGTATGAATAAACATCCTAAATAGAAGGCAAAATTAAAAAAGATTATGATTCTGTCTCTGTATAGTAAAGTTCATTCTGAAATACATTACATAGAATATATCTGCATAGTATTGTTACTGTATCTACCCACTGTGGATCTGAAATTCTCTAAAAGTTTGCAAACTTGAACTCAGAGTAATGAAAGGCTCACAAAACAGACAATTTGCAGTAAAGTATGGAGTTTGCCACTTTAATTTAAACTATTGATCAAATGTTGTTTTGTTTCTCAGTTAATTCCCTTGACACAAAAATAACATTCAATAAAAACCTAATGTTATTTGAAGGTAAAAAAAAAATATTTGCACTTCCATTTTTCTTTCAGAGAATATTTCATTCCCCGAGTGTGTTGTACTGAATATCTTGCAACAATGCTAAAACATAACTGATATAAAATAGTGATTAGTTTGTAAGGACAAGGTCACAAAAGAAAGTTATAACAAGTGTTTATATTTAAACCCCTGGAAACATCTCCCAGTTCTTGAGTTTGGTGCAATATCCATAAATTGACTCTGTATCAGAGAAAGGGAAAGCAAGGTATAAACACTATAACTGCAGTTCTGATCCCCAGGAGGTAATACAGATACAACTGTGGGAATCAATTAAACTGGGAGAGGGAGATTTAGACTAGATATTGGGAAGAAATTCTTTACTATGAGGGTGGTGAGGCACTGGAGAAGATGTGGATGCCCCCTCCCTGGAAGTATTCAAGGCCAGGCTGGATAGGGCTTTTAGCAACCTGGTCTGGTGGGAGGTGTCCCTGCCTATAGCAGGGGGTTGGAACTAGGTGATCATAAAGGTCCCTTCCAAGCCAAACCATTCTATGATTCTATGCTATAGAGTGCAATTAGAAGTAAGAGTTAAGAATATCTTCTAAGAAATTCAAATTGTTACAGCAAGCATGAAAAAGTTCTGATCTAAAAACAAGTGAACAAACACAGAAAAAACAAAAACCACTGACAAGATTAAAAAGATCAGGCCAAGCTGCCATGTAAGACACTGGATATAGTTTTAAAGTTCAGGTGGTGAAAGACTGGAAGTTTAATGAAGATATGCAAACAATTTTAATTTCTATAACATACAGTATGCTATGTGCACCTGTAATGCTTCTAAGTACTGAAATTTCACTGAGTTTATTTGGGGAAGAGAACAAAAAAGTAGCACAGGAAAATCGAGAAAGTTATGATCCTGATGTTCACAAAGCAACTAGCATAACTGTATTTCACATCTGTAACAGCAATCAAAGGAGACATCAGTAATCACTTTAGAAACTCTAACTTTCTGCTTTACATGAAGTTGTTATTGATGCATGCATGAAAATAATGATTTTGTTTTACTCTGAGGTTCATCTATAATACAAAGCCACAAAGTAGACAAAATATTAATTTTGAAACCATATGACTAAAGTTACCTTGATAGGAGAAACTAATCTGTGTTTGATGGAACAAACAGATATAGCACTGGTCAGTCAACAGGGACCCCTGTCCTATCCTCACTGATAATGCTTTTGAATTATGCAACTTGTTAGAAGATGAAGCTAAAAAAATTGTTACTGCTCATAAATACCAGCAACCCTAAGAAAAACGTGAGATAACTGTAGGAATTAATCCCAACAGAAAGGCATGCTGAATTCTCTCAAATGTAGCTACAGCATGCATGGCTTCAGTGCCAAAATATCTTGCCAGGCACTTTCATCCAAACATTTAGGCATCTAAAATGCTCAGTCTCTAAATGTTCTCATTCACACTGACTATGGCTGGTGTCCATATTTATGCTGGTAATTTCCCCAAGCTATCAATGTTTTAGCTAGTAGACGCATCTGAGGTCTTGCAGTGCTGAACAGCTAAGGCTGGAATCTATTCCATGCTCCTCCATTTTAATTAGAGCTTTTAGATCTTGTAAAGTCAGTGGAGAGCACCTGAATCACCCTCGAGAAACATTCCATTTCTCTCCTGCAACTAAAGAAGGAAGGAACCAACTGGTTAGTTATACCAGGGATCTGGAAGGGTCAAGGACCATTCTCTCAAGGCCATGTTACAGGCTGCCCTATACTACACATTAGTTTCCACTGAAAATACTACTCACCAGTACACTGCTGGAGGAAGCAACAAATGCTCTGCAGGGCTCATGGGCACAAATAACAGTCCCACCTGCTTAACATAGGTGCCTGCTGACACTGTAAAAACTTAGAGTCCTATTTCCTGTGCCAAAACCATTTTTCAGATCATGATATCAGTATTAAAAAAAAAAAAAGGATGATCACATGCCAAGGTGCCTCTGCCCCCGTTTTGCTTAGCTTATATGAAGTCTTGGCATCCTCCCTAAGGCTGCTGCCTTCTGTGGATACATGTAAGCGTCCTTTAGGCCAGGACAGGAGTAAGAAAAGCGTACAGCACAATTTTAGTCTTCAAATGGGTGAGAAACCTGACTTCCTCTCTCTGTGTCAAGAAGCACATTAGTTTCTCCACAAAGCAGAATGCTTGATCAAGTGGGACATCCAAATCCTTCTAAATGTTGTGGTTTGAAGTCTAAGTCCCACAGATACTCATATAAAAGGATTTGGTGTTGTCCACAGGTACTGTCCACTGGTACTGTATCAGTTGCAGTGAAATGGTATCAGTATTTTCACAAATGCTTGAAGAAGATTTATTTATTACATAGTTAGGGTTTAAATCAGTACTTAGCGTTATGCTAAGTTATATAGATATAATATAGTTGGTTTGCTGCTCTTCCACCTCTGCACTGTGATATCTTGGAGGAATAACTTTTTTTATCCTTTGTACAAGGCCTAATATAATATTCTCTAGTTCCATTTAAAGCTTTTCAGTTTTAATGCAACAGAATTGTGAAATAACAGCAACATTTCTGTTCTCTGCAATAAAATAATTTCAGCTATTACTCACAGCGGGTCTGTTTCCAAAAGCAGCATAAAAGGGTTCTGTGTTGGGATAAAATAAGTTTTTTATGTCTGTCAAACATTGAACTTTGAATTTTTCTGGCTTTTTCTCTATCACTTCCCTGAAATGATATAAAAGAAAGAAGTGAGGAAAGCACCACCTGAATAAGTACACATTGAAATACAGCATAAACCAGTTTAATATTATTCAGTCTTCTTTCCTCCCCCCTCCCCCCCTTCACTCAGGACTCCTGCAAAGATTTTCCTCCAATAAATCTTCATTTGGAAGTCACAATGGCCACCAAGACAAAAATAGCATTCCTAAGCTTACATGATAGCCACAGTAAATAAATCTTCCAAAACAAGAGGACTTCTACTGAAGCTTAAGTAATAAAGATTAAGACTTATGAGACATAAATTAAGTAAACTGCATAGATTATATTAGCCACTACTATGTAAGGCTTTTTAATCACAATTTTTTTCAAAAATTAAAGGATTGTAATTAACATATGTGTTAAAAGGACCTCAATCTGTTAAGGTGTTTCTACAGTCAGGGTCATCCATCACTGCTAACTAGCAGAAGTAATAAAGAATAAAGAAATCTTCCATTTCTTTTCAGTTGCTCTTTACAGAATACGTTAATGAACAGAGGAGCTGCCTCATCTCTGGGTAATAGCCCTTTCATAACAGCTTCTCTTGGCAAGGATGCTGAACAGGTGGCGAAGTCTGGAGTTCCCACAACAGAGAAAGACACCAGTATGACACAGAAGTACTGAAGACGCTCAGAATCCTACATCCTACTATCATCATATATGCCAAGGAAAATGCAAGTAGCACAGACACTTCATAGGAATATTACAGCCATTTGGAAGAGCAGTTTCACATATAAATTCAAGTTTGAGCATGTGCAAAGGAGGAATCAAACCATCTTTCCCCCGTCCTCTGTTATTAGTGCCTTTAAAACCACAGTGAATAAATCCACGGGTAACAATTAAGTCATATCTTGCCCACAGACCAAAGAAATTAAGAGAGATAGATAGGTATTTTTTAGTCTAAAGATGATACCAAGAAGAGTATCACTTAAAATATATTTCTAGATATAAGGAATGTAAGATAACAGCATCTATCCTTTCACCAAGACTATTATTTAATCAGTCTAAGAAGAACACTGTGTACCTCCACGCTCTCTTATATTTAGAACATGACTGGTGAGACAGCCTGTAGCATGTCATTCAATCAGGAGAACATCTGAACAACTTTCCATTAAAAATTCTAATGAAATCCTGTCACAGCAGCGTTTTACAGCCTAAAATATTTTCAGTAATCACTTGACATACTTCGTTGAATTAGGGAAAGGGTACAGTATTCATATCTGTGCTGTTATGATTCATTTATTACACACCAACACCTACAAAGAACATCACTGCCCAGGTAGAAAAGCACAATACAGTCAGCAGTATAAAGAGTTCATTTTATTTTCACGCAAACTTCTTTATAGCCACCAAGAAATAAATATTTTCACACACACAAATTTAAAAAAAAAAAAAAAAACAGGGAATACTTCTACCTAAACAGTGATTGCAGACATATGTTGAGGTGTGTTTAAGAGAGAAACTAAGCAATATGCTTATCTATTTGATTGTGGTCTTTTCTTCAGCATAATTTCTTTTTAATTCAACTTTGGACCACAATGTAAGTAAAACCATTACAAATTATTTCAATAGAACCCACTAAAATGCTGACAATTCAGCTTTCGCCAACCTCCAAATTTCTTTCTACACAAAAGTGATACTGCAGTACCTGTGCAAAGCTGAGAATAAGCTGCTTGGACTCAGCAACACTGGCCCCTGTGGCAGCACAGTTCCACGTTCATTGACCCAATGCAAGTATCCTCTGGTCATGTCTGCCATTCCAATAGCACGTGCTGAGCAATACAGAAATTTATATCCATTTCTGTAAACAGAAACAAAAGATAATGCTGTTAAAAACAAAGCAGGTGTTTTGGGTGCTAAGGGAAGATTTAGGTTGGATGTCAGGGGGAAGTTCTTTACAGAGAGAGTGGTGAGGTGCTGGAACAGCTGCACAGAGAGGTTGTGGATGCCCCATCCCTAGAGGTGTTCAAGGCCAGATTGGATGGGGCCCTGGGCAGCCTGGTCTAGTATTAAATGGGGAGGTTGGTGGACCTGCACATGGCAGGAAAGTTGGAAATTCATGATCCTTGAGGTCCCTTCCAACCCTGGCCATTCTGTGATTCTGTGATTTTGAAATAAATAATGTTGTGAGTTTGTTTTCATATGAATCAATCACAGTGGTTCAACAGCTATATTTAAAAGGAACAACATTTATGTCAGAATGCTGGACAATAAAAATCCGCTTGGTTCCATTACAGTTAATGATTTACACCTAAAAAGGGCTTATTTATCTCATCTTCCCATGACTTTACATGACTTTCTACTTACCCTTGCATACTAAAACCACAGACATTTGAATTAGCTAAAATAATATCTGCTAAGAGGAAGCACTTGGCATAAAACAGACAATGACAGATTAACCTTCATTGTATTAACAATGTCATAGTCCTGCCTTCTGGGCCTCTGGGTGGGGAAAACTGATCTACGTGCAGCAGCAACATGCTCCTTTCAACTCTGAGCAAAGTAAAACCACAAAACATTGGACGAGAAATAATCTTTGTATTGACACTGAAACAAAAATTTCAGCACAAGTTACAGGTTCTGTCAGAACAGCATAGAGTCAAAAGGCATTAGTTCAACTGAATAGCATTTCCTTCTGCAAGCCCTACAAGGGAATGTGAAATAAACAAATGCATATTCAGCACAAGCATGGCCATTAAATATAGCTACTCAACATTTCTGTAGCATTCAGCTGTAACGTCTAGCTGCTACATAATTAACTCAGTAATTTTAAAAGTGACATGACTCAAATCTATTTTCCCATTTTTATGTTTTCAATCAGCAAAGCCCCAACAACTGACAGGCACAGAAATAACAACTGCAATTAAAAAAAAAAATTAACATTTTCACCAAAGACAATGCAGAGGCTACACACAGGAACTAAACAGTGTTCCAGTATCCGAATTCACATGCTGTCCTGTTTTTTCTCTTATCTTGTATGTCTATACAAGAACTAGAGGATAGACCAGTGTCTCTGGCATAATTTAGATTCCACCAATCATGGTTTATAATTTATCATTTATGTAAAATAAAAAGCAATAAACAAGTCCTAACATAACCACAGTGCATAGAACAAGTCAGATTACCTAAAAGAACAGTTATGATGTGTTCCAGAGGCTCTTCAAACAGCTGTGGTAAACTCAATATACAAGGACAGCTGAATGTGATGCAAGAAAATACATTCTTTTTTCCTCAATGTCTGTTCAACATGAACAGACAACTAAAACTTGTTGATGCTAAAAATCTGGATGTATGAATATCAGAATATAACAGACACTTCATCTGATCCCATTCAGATATCAATTAACTTTTCTTCTAGCTTCTTTTATTCCCCTCAACTCCAACTGACAAAGCTCACTATCCTTCCTGAACAGTTCTCCTATTCACACTCACCAGAGGAAACACCTCAAGTTTTTCTAGTTCCTCAGGCCCTTTGCAACATGCATCTCAATAACTTTCAACACCGTTAAAATATTTTAATATTTGTAAATTTGCAATGAAATAATGGATTTATAGCAAATATTCATATAGGAAAAAATGAAATAAATCATATAACTATCAGTAACAAAGACCACCATCACTGTATATAAACACAGTGAGAATCTTACACGGTCCATTCCTATGCAAGATAGAGACTATGCTACAGAAATTTAATATTTAGACAGCTGGAGTCTACACTTGTTCTCCCAACTCCCTTTCTGCTTGCCAGAAACAGCTGAAATTCTCCTATACTGACTCATCTCAGGTATTTTAGATTTCATCCATACACAACAGATAAAGAAACTCATGTCTCTCTACTCACCACTTCAAAAGAAAAACAACTAAGCAATTAGTTTAGATTAGACACCTAACTTCTGGGTAAGTAGGCTTTGGCAAGAACTCCACCTGCAGTGACCACCCTCAGCAAAACAGTCCTTAGATGTTTTGCAATGTCTATCCTCAAGGATAGACAGGAAAGTCTCATATGGTAATGCTGTTGCAATTCCCAGGTTGTAAAAACTTCCACTTACTGAAGCTATACAACTCATTTAGATTACTACATTTTTTCTAAACTGAACTGTATCTGTTTGGGATGATTAGGAGAATAATTGCTACTCATTAATTGACAGGAGACTTCTGTTCCTGGTATCACAAAGCAGGTATTGGTCTGGCTATCAGACAGCAGACAGTTACACTGTGTAAGCAAAGAGATACTGATGAGATTTCTCTTAACCTGTAAGCATAACAGTCTATAACGATTTCAACATTTGTGTGCAAATGAATAAACACACACAAATCACAGACATACGAACAGATTTACTGAATACTCACTGGCTCACTTTATGGTACAACTTTGCAATCCCTTGGTGTGTCCAATCTTTGCCAAGAGTAGGCAAAATATGACCTAAAGTATCTGACCTGAATAAAAGAAGAACAATGTAATTGAAATGAAGATCAAAACAAAAAACAAACTTACTGCTTTTAACTAATAACAGATGAGACTAATATAAGTCCCCCTAATTAAATTACCTAGCTGCACAAGAAAATTAGATTTTCTTCAAGGTACTGATTGCAATCAGAAGAGGGTGAGATTATTCCCTTTTCTTTCAAGACAGTCTTGACATGTCTATGCTGTTTTAATCAGCCTAGTGCCCCAAGACTTCATTTCTCAGATAAGCTAGTGAGCCATAAGTTAAAAAGGAAGTTACAGCATATAGACTACCAGTTAGACCTATAGAGTAGTACTGAGTATACTTTTTGAGGTTTACATTTTCTAAATAAACCAAATCTAACTATAAGGTAGGTCAGATTGTAAACCTCCAAGCATGCAGTAATGTTCTAACTTCTTCAAATAACCAAGCTGGCAGTCGGTCATATATAGTAATACTAGTTTTAACATATTTCCCACTCTACATAAAAGAAAATTATTTACAATACAATAATATTTAAAAGTACAAAGAACTGAGCACCTCACTAGATCAATCGTTATAAGGATACACAGCAAGAAATCCAACCACTCTAAGTATCTTGCATCTTATAGAGAAAAGATTTGGCAATGGATTCGGATTCACAATAATATTGTAAGGTGAAGGGATTCAATTACTGTCCAGACAAAGAAAAGAGTAGGTCTCATTTACTTTGCTGAAACTTAAGAAAATAAAGAAGGCAGAGGAATTAATTCACGTTGGCAACCAAAAAAACAGTTTGCCCTTCAACTAATTAATTGTAATGGGGAAAAAAAAAAGTTAAAGCTTCAGTTCAAATCAAATATTTTAATTCAGCCCAGATTAGTTCTGGAAATCCTTTTGCTCATTTTTTTTTTGTTTGTTTGGTTGGTTTTTTTTGCATCTATTGTACCTCATAAGTGTGATAGAGCAAGAAGCCTATGATTTTGTGGAACACCCTGCAACACTGCTGTAAATGCTATCACAAAATACTAAAAAGTGAAAAACTGAGTGCTTATGGCATGTTTCTTTATGAAATAATGATTCTAGCCACTGAGTCTCACAGTGTTTGAAAACAAACAAAACTAAAGCAAACAAAAAACACAAGGACTCCACAAAATACTAAAATATAATTCCTTTTCTCAAAATTCCCTGGTTTTTAGTCCAATGGACAGAGGGAAATAAACAGTTCTCCTTTTATGAACTCACCGTGTGATTGTTCCATCTATGTCAGAAATGATAACCTTATCATCCCAATTCCATAGGTAAATGGTACCTTCACAGCGGCAAGTACCTTGGTATTGTGTTGTTACACTAAAGGTCACATCATTGGGACCATTCTTCAGCTTTAAGCTTTTCTGCAAGACATTATCAGCAAGATTATCAACAACTTGAGCATGTGAAACAAACATCATGCAAACAGAAAGCTACAGATGGCTGTTGCTTTGGTCACACAACCTTACTGCTTTCAGCAGAGCCATTTTCTAAGTAAGGTCAGAAGAGATTTGTTACTTATGGTGAATATGAAACATTAATTTAGGGAACAGAATGAAAAAAAATCTGATTACGGTAAGTGATACGAAAGAGCATCCTGAAGGGTTCACATGCAATAATGAATATGGAAGGTTTCTCATATCATGATATAGAGAGAAAAGCATGGGTTACAAGTAATGCCATGAACAGTGAAAACGACAGAGTGCTTATATGTGGATTTATGTTCTATGGATCCACATTGGCACATTTCTAGTCTATAATAACTCACCTATTATCCGTCAGTCTCTAAAGTTCCTTAACTTTCCCACCCTGCTGCCCTTCCCTTTCACTTAGGAATTAATTGGGCATCAGACTACTAATCTGATCTCTTTTTGTAGGCTCAACCACTCATTTTCACAAAACCTGTTGGAGTTTCTTGCTTTAAGTGTTCTTAGTTATATTCCATTGAATTGTTTAGTGAGTTAATATGCAAAATGAAGGTGTGAATGCAGATGGGAAACTGATGAGTCCCATCTACTGTGTCATCAAGAATCCCATCTAAGTGTAGTTCTGGCTTCTGCTACTTACTGCAAGGTTTATGTATCTGAAAAGAACATATACATTTGTAAGCAAGTAATGTATTTGTGTAGCTCTTGTTTTCTGCCTGATTTAGGAAGTTACAACCACATTTCATTCATCTCTTGGGAAAAATTCCTTTCTAACTATTTAGGCAGTAAGCAATAGGCTGCAGAATGCTGTACTTCTCATATGAGTTTCCTTTAGAAAATTAATTGGCTGTATTTATTTCACTAAAGTATATATTTCACTAAAGTAGCCCATTTTTCCAAAATCCAAGTGGCACGTGCAAAACATAGAGCAGCAACAGTTTTGTCACCATTAGCCAGAATGCATTCTGTCACAGACAAAGAGAGTTAGCTCCCAAGAAATTAATAGCCTGGCTTCATAGCGAGTGCACAAGCAGCTCTTTCAAAAGTTACTAACAAAGAACTGTATTTACATAAGAATGCCTGTCAGTTTATTAACAGAAGGGTGGGGGCAGAAAAGAGACCTCTGGGTTGACACAAACTTTACACAACACAAAAGATGTGGTTGCAGTATGCTCAGGTGCAAAACACATGCTTCAGAAATAGTTTTGGTATTTGTCTAAATGGGCTCTGAATCTCTGAACCCCCAGCCCTTCTGAAGGAACATTCATGTGTAATATTGAGAAGGAAAAGGAAAAGATAGCTTTAAAAATATTGTAAAAAGATGGAATTAAAAGTAAGAAGTAAAAAAATAAAATAAAATTAAACCTTTCAAGTCTGGATAACAATATTGTTCTCGTTGCATTAGAAATGACATTTCAGTACAAAGATATAAAACCAACTCACAAGCTGGTCAGAAGTTAGTCGAAGTGTTTTTTTGTAACTGATTCCAGACAATAATGAGAGATGACTCGAGTTGGCTTGTAATGACCCAAGGTTTTGTTTGGCAGCTCTAGGGTCTTCATCGCTTGAAGAAGATTCATCTTTTATTCTGGAACAGTGCACACAGAAAATGATGCTATCATGTCCATAAATGCATCTCAGTAACCATTAAAAATGCATTAACAGTGAGTCACCAAATAAGTTATTGATTCTCTGATCCTGTTTCACAAGAGGTCATTCACAGCAGGGCTTTTAAATATATCAATGGAGTGCTGAATTTTCATTCATGCTTGTTCCCCATTATTAATACTTGGATTCCTATGGGGTCCCTTCCAACCCCCATGATTCTGTGATTCACTTGTCTACATGCTAGTTTTCATCACTTAAATTTAACATATAAAAATTACTATGTTATGTTGACTCAAAAAACTCAGTGGTAATTATTCATTTTTATATATGTTGTTTCTTTAATATATTAAAAAATACTGAAACTACAGAAAATTCTTATTTCTCAGTGCAAGAAAAAGAAGTTTGCTGTGCTGGTGTTTTGTTGTGCTTTTTTGTTTGTTTTCCCTAATTTAGCAGTTAATAAAAGAATTTGGGAATCTGGTCATCCCTTCTCCCCTCATCTCTCTCCCCTCCATTATGGGTGGGATATGACACCAAGTAATTACAATTTTATCATCAAAAAACTCCTCCTTTTTCTGCAAGCAATTATCAGGTTATTCTTTTCCACGATCTGCAGGATTATCTCATTCAGGATAAAGTCAACACAAAAAAACACTTGATTAAGCTCCTCTAGACAGAGGCAAAGTTTTTCTACAATACACAAAACTATCACCTAGGGAAGATAAAATATCCCTTCAGATCCTGCAAATATAATCTCTACAACTACTAAAGCTACTGGGCCCATTTCCATCACAGCTGGATGTTCTTTGATGTCAGGAAGTCTTGACCTATTATCAAGATGGTACATGTCATGACTAATAATATTTTAAAATCCATCTTATTATCCTTTGCAACATCACATCTCAGAAGCTTTATTCAACATCCCACTTGTGCTCTGTTTGTAAGCAATAAATTCTTAATGACTGATTTTTAAGATCAGTTAAAACTTAAAGAGCACCGACTACAGAATTCTGTCTGCTTGAAATCCTAATCCCACTTTAAAGCCTATCTTTCAACAACCACGTAAAAGATATCAGACCTAAACATCACTTATCAAAAAAGGGAACTCGGTCTTTCTGATTCCTTCTTTAGATTTCAAACGCAGAGAACAGAGACAAGCAAATCAAGAACTACATCCCATTCTCCTGGAATGCAACCGCTTAAAGAACTACAGCTACTGCATTTTTTTTTTTCTACCATGGTGACCCTTGAGTTTCACATAGTGAGTATAAAAGATATTTAAATCTGTATGATATGGCCCTCTTCAGCTCTAAGCACAACATTTATGAGCTGTCTTTACAGTCCAACCTGAATGCACAGCAATGATACAAGATAGGAGAGATGCCTCTGGCTATCTCATCCCCTCAACAGTTTCTGAGGAAATCTAAGACTCATCATACAGAGCCTTTATGAGGCAGAGATTCTAGCTATGCAGTATGATTAATTTGAATTAATTTAAAAAAACAACTATGAAGCTTTCCTACCTAATGCATGTGAAAAGAAGCCTGGGAACTGTTAGGCTCCTGAACTTCCTAAAATATGCAGGAAGAAATTAAAGCGTCAAGCCATAAATCAGAATTTTAGCACATGCGAAATGAAAACAACCTGGGATAACCTATGATGCTGCCTTTAAAACTCCAAAGAGATGTATATAGTTCTGCAGTACTGCTTCAATTATTGTTTTTTTTGGTTTTGTTTTTTTTTGGGTTTTTTTTGGTTTTTTTTTTGGTCAAAGGGCTGGAATATATGTCACAGAACTACCAGCCAAACCATAAGCTAAAATTGCCAAAGCACATTTGCAAGGTCTGCAACCTTCCCATGGCTACAGCCTTGATATCTGCACTTACATACAATTCATTATTCACTGCATCAAATATTTACTTCACACAGTACATATAATTTTTCATTGCATCAAATATTTACTTCGTGCAGTACTTCTTGGTTCAAATATAGGAACAGCTTGATTTCATTTTTAAATTATATTTCTTGCTCAATTCAGGTAGAGCAAACTTCTTGGGTACCTGTTTGCCATACTCATCTGTGAAGAGTCTTCTCCTGTAAGTCTACTCCCACTCATACCTTGTTCTGCCTTTGTTTCCTATAAAAATACAAGAAAGTATACAAATTCATGGAGATCTGATTAAAGAAAAAAGATACACGCAAAGATCAAGAACAGGTTTTTTTTCCCATACATTCCCTTTTACTTTATCTATGATTAAAGAGGGAAAATTGCATGGATTTCTTAAAGAATAAAGGCTGTGCAAAGTAATTAAACAATGCAAATACAAAACTCAGAAGAATTAAGATTTAGCTTTGCACAAATACAGAACTCAGATTTCTGAGTTGGCACTCAGAATAGCTGGCACTGTTTAAGTTCCAGAATCAAACTACTCAGTTAATCACAAATAGCTAGATTTCACTTGAAAACCAAAACAATCTGGAAAAATAATAGAGTTACCTTTCATGGAATTATTAAAATCTTTAATCCAATAAAACATTCACACATTATTTTTACACCGAGTCAATGCTAAGATCTATCAATTCCTTCCCAGAAGAAGAAAGATTTTTGAGTAGTGAATGACTACAAAGAACAATAAAACTTCCCCTTGTCCATTTACGGCTTTATAGATAAGCAAATGCTTCCACTGAGAAAGAAATTCTAAATATTTCAAGCTGCAGAAACTAAAATCTCAGGCTCTAAAGCTCATATCCGCAGACCAGTACAGTGGTTATTTCAAACAAAGCTAAGAGTTCATCTGCTGAGGTACAACCATAAAAACATATCTCCCCCCAGTATTAATGCTTCAACAGTATAAATGAATATGAAGTGGTTTTATTAGCCAACTTTAAAGATTAAACGTGTCTAGACAGGAGATCAATATTTCATATAAAATTTTGCCTTTTTCACTGTGCTTTAATTCATGGGTTTAAGGTTGTTACCACAAACTTTCAATATTCAGAAAAGAAATTTAAGACAACTTTAAAAGTAATATAAGTTTTCCATCTTAAGTTTTACTGAACTTTACAGTGCACTCTCATCAAAAATACCTCTGTTCTTCAACTGTGAACAAAAACTATAGAAAGGTAGGCAAAACATGTGGCACACCTCTTCAAATCTAGGTTCCTGGACACAGATTTTAATTTGTTAGATAACACTGTCTCCCATTTGTAAAATGGAAGAAAAAAAGGCAGAACCAAAATACTGCAAGCAAATATTTTAGGTAGGATCTGATCGAAGGCCTTCTGAAGTCAGACTTCAGATGCTGTTTAAATGACTTTTAACGTGCAAATCCTCAGCCAAAGTGAGTATGAAGCACAGTTCTGAAGGATGAATTTGGAGGTAGCTAGACTTCCCAACACTTGCTTCTTAAACTTACCTCTTTAATAGTACTGTTTCTCCCTCTCCAGGAAAACCACCATCTTCCACCTTTTTTGGGCATCTTGTCTCTCATTATAGATTCCACAGTGGCCTGTGATAAATGGATGGTAACATAAAAAGAAACCAAAACAAAGGACAACCTGATATATGTAAATGAAAGAGTGCAAATGCACAATTTTAACTGATAATAAACAGAATAAAAGTAAACATACTGTCTGTGGACCATAAATTCTAGTAAAGCAAAATCTAATGGTATCCAGCACTGCTCTGAAGTAACTTAAACATGAATACTTATGGAATTTTTAAAAGAAAAATGAAAAGGACAAAAATCAAAGGAAGAAAAAAAAAGCATAAATAGGTATTAGTATAATGCCTAGAATGGAGAAGCTACTGGTTTTGTTGTTTTTTTTTTTACATTACTTAATGCAAATTATATTTAGAAAAAAAGCACAACAAACAAATGAGTAGAAAAGATCATTTCCTGAAAGAGTTGTCATGAAAAACAGTAAAAAACAAAAAACAAAATAGCATGCAAGATGGTCATTTTCATTTATGAATAACTGAAGTTCATAACTCATAATAAGTTAGGATAAAATAAAGGAAGTTAGTAGTTTTAAATGAGGTTAGCATGATACTCTGAACTTGACTGACAGCGTTAAGTCTTTTTGTGCTTTTTCTTTTAAACCTTTGCTAATTTATATATACTGTATATACTGGATTCCTAGTAGAAAAAAAGTTTCTTCCAATAACTATGACTAGAGAGATTTATGTACCATAACAAGACTTGAATTCATCCAACCACGAGAGTGAGAAAAACCAGAAGGGGAAATACTACAATAAAGGTGGTTACAGTGTTCAGTATGTCCTAGAATAGCTTAGCCACAGGTTTTACAATAACTTCATTTACAGTAGAGGCTATCAAAATAAAATTGCATTGTTGATCAGTGAAAAGAAAAAAAAACAACACAGAACTGATTCCAAGAAAAGCTAGCAGTTAAGAAAGAGGGCTGAGTTCAGGTTATGCAGAAATACACCTTTACTCAGTTTTTTCCACAGGTTTTCCTTCACTAGACCATCTAAAGTATAAGAGAAAAGAGAGAAGTGACAGAGGAACGAAGCTGAGCAAAGAAATTGAAGGTTTTTTTAGACACGAAAAGTGCAGATGGAGCTACTGAGAAAACAACAGTTGTTGAGAACAATGGCTACAGTTTAAAGAGGTTATCAAGCATATGGACAACTTCAAGCAGATGTACTATTGATTTTTAATTAGATAATGTACTTGCTTACAGTTAAGCACGTATTTAAGAGTATTTTGCAGAATGTTAGTGGTTTTTTTTAATAATAGCTCAAGTTTTCAATCACTTCATAAAGCCTGTTTTGATGAAGGATTTCAACACCTTAGTTGCATTATTACATAAATTAGAATTTTGATTTGCTAAATGATTAAGAAAACCAGTAGAATGACTGGTAGCATAAATGAGTAATTGTGATTTCAGCAGTACAGTCTAGACTATTAAGCCTTTCCAATCACACAGATTGTGACAACTATACATATTAGCTTCTTCACCCTATGAAAACATGGAGATCATCATCTAGAAAGATACCAGTATACAGATTGCAAGTGAATTAAAAAAAGACAACAGTGAATTTCACATAACCTATATGAATAATGGTGTAACCATAAAATCGTTGACGGAATTTCTATTTTCCCTAAATAGAAAAAGTATTTCATACCTACTGCCTACTCATTCTTCCTTGGCCAAAGACAAAACATTTGGTTGAGGCATCTAAATATTGAATTACAAAGGTAGTTACCCTGCACTGGAGGATGCAGGGTATCTACCTGTATTGCCACTGGAGACCAATACATGCTGATGGGATGAATCATGGCTTTGATGACACGTGGAATATTTGCAGTAACACACAGAAATATCTAGTTCTGAGATACTTTAAAATTCAAGCCTGATTTACCAGATATTTAGAATTTTTAGGATCAGTTTAATGTATTGAGTCATGAGCTGGACTCAGTGATGCTTATGCATCCCTCCCTATTAGCAATATTCTATGATTTTATATTGTCTGTATCTGTAGGTAATGTGGCACTAAGATAGAAAGAACATAGTAGTAGAGTATTTCTTTAAGTTTTGGCAAAAGAATTCACATAGATTAAATACAAAAATACACAAAGGGCTGCAAGGGACAGAAGTAAAGTTTAGTTTACGAAGGATACTAAATCCATGGCCAACTAGGTTACAGATTAGTGCCAGTATACTTACTCCTTTATAAATAGTCACAGCAACATGTATTTCTGTCCTGATCACCTCTCTGGCACTAGGTCACATGTAATTGGACTAAGTACATCAGCGTGTTTAATATAAACAACCATACAGCTGTCACATAGTCATAGCTATCTGTCACTGCCTACCTGGGTTGGTTATGACCAACCAACTGAGAAATGGAGAACTAACAAGTTATAGACCTTCCCTGTCCAGTACTTAAGTTGTATTTAAGTGAAGTCAAAATCCTTGACTTCAATTTTTATTTGCTAAATATGCTGTGCATAGATAAAATGAAGCAAGTCATCAGCGTTCAGATACAGTAAACATTAAGATGAGTCAATCTAGCATATGTTTACAATCTGTGTTAATGCAGGAAACAGGAAAAGATAAAGAGATCAAGTTCAAAATACTTGTAACGATCTTAGCTTAGAAAGTAAAAACTATTCACAGACCAAATCTAGCTTATACTCAGTGCTAAATAACTAAGACTAAGAGAATGGTTTAGTGTGAATACACATGCCTTTATAACACAATCCCTTTTATCTGCCTTAGTTAATGATATGCCTTAACAAACAGCAAAACATCAAAGCTTCCGTTCTGACCAACCTTCATATTCAATCTCACCTTTGGCAAAGGTTTCTGGAATGCCTGCATTGCCAGCAGAAGGGGACCAGCTGTTGTCCAGTTGTAGTACCTAATATTAAAGAAAGACAATTACTGTATTTTGTAATCCCAAAGTTCCAGTACACAATCTAGTATTTATCATATAATAGGTTGAACCTGTGAAGATTCTTTAGCACAGGTATTTAATGCCTCATTAGCAAATGAGCTTTGTTTCTGGTTGGGTTTTTTTGTTTTTAAACAGGCAGCTTTCACTGGTTTTGCATCAAGTCATTACACAAATGTTAGGAACCTGAGTCTGCAGGATGTTAAACTTTTACTATGATGTACTGAACACAGCTCAACTACTGTTACAGACTGCAGTATGAATAGAGCAGCATTGTCCTCTCTTTCCAAAGCACCAGTAGGCAGGTAAATATTACCCACAAAAAAATCAGATATGTGGCAGAGGAGAAATAAATGACTCTCCTTGTCTCCTCTCTGATGGAGGAGACAAGGTCATCGCATACTCAATCCCATAGGTGATTAAAAACTATTGCATAAGGATGCAGTAAGTATCAGATTTATATGAGTAATTTCTATAACTAAGGGTAGCTTAACTTCTAACTGCAGCACAAAGCCATCATCTCTCTTCTACTCTGAACAGAAAATGGCAGCTGAAAGTGGCTGTAAAGTTAAAATACCCTCCAAACAGCTGCATCTGCCATAGACCATAGCGCTGCACTGCTCAGCAACACAAACGCATGAAATAATATCTTTAGCCTTCCAGAAACAGAAGTCTCACACTCAGTGAGTGAATTCTGACAAATATGGGAAGAATGATGCTTCTACAGAGGCATATTAGTAAAAATATTCAGCTTTATAAACACAACCTATTGCATATGGAGGGTTTGCGAGCAGAACGTCACAATGCTGGATATATTAATTACTCAAATTGGATCAAGGCAAGCCTTAGCAAGTTCATATCCTACTTCATTTTTACTCTACCAATTGAGAATGAACACTATTAGTTTTTAATACTAGTTTCTTGAAATTCAGATTATGTCAGTTAGCTGTGGCAGGTGATCTGAAGCTCCTCTTTACATTAGCCTCAAGAAGAAGAGAACTAAGAAAAAGCTTGAACTCACTTGAAAGCTGAGTCTAAATGAATCTATGCTACAAAAGTTCAAAACCTATTCTTCGGCTATAGTGATATTGGTCTAACACAATGAAGTACCACAGCAGAGCTTTCATTGCAACAGTAAGAATCATTTCTCCTTACTTACTCCATGAAACTGTACTTACTTATTTCCAATCTTAACCACAAGGTTAGGGTCATCAATGATAGCAGGATTGTCCACAAACTGCTGATATGTTACTGCATGTTCTAAGAATTCTTCTGTTGGGGAAAAGAGAAAAGCAAACAAGTCATGCTTTTATAGATGGGCCATCTAAAAGAAAACATATTGCTTTCACACTCAGTGCTTGCCCTTGACTACTGGGGTACTGAGATCAGTAGAAATACTGAAGCAAGACGTTCAGAAATTTCAATATTAGAAGACACTGAGGGTTTCTTTGAGTACTGCTGGGTATTTTCCCCTTCAAAATACAAGCTAAGAGAAAGTTTAGGGATAGAACTGTGAGGAGAAAAATCAGGCTTCTAAGAAAAGTAGAGAAGTATTTCCTCATGCCTTTTACTGACCCTTTGTCCAAATTAGGAATAGGACCAGGTGGGCTTACATACGCATAAACCCATAAACAAAAACTTGACCACTTGTACAGCTTACAGTAAAACAGTAACCACCTATGAACAAACACCTTTTCCATTCCTGCAGCTCCTTCAACAGAATCCCCATAGTTTGCAGGTGATCTGAATAACAAGCATAACTCAAATTACAATATAATCAAAATGCATAATAACTAGCTTCTGAACAGCAATCAGCATAACATCAGGCTCAGGGGTTTATGACTCCATGTTATTGCAGAATTTGCATGTTTTAAACCATTTATCTTCACCGTATGCAGCTAAAAGTTTAAAGAACCAGTCTCAAATGATTTATCTCAAGAGTCACACAAGAAATGGAAGGTACAGCAGCTGTTGCCATTTACAGACCAGACGATCTTTTTAATTCCTGACATGGACAGCAGAGTATTTCCTGGCTATACATTATACCAAGTGACAAAAGTAGTATGTACACTGCTATAATATAAAATCAGGATTATCAGGAAATACATACACACTTTTCAAAAACATAGCATACAGAAGATTATTGAAAGGTGTTAAAATAGTAAAATGATAAAGACCTTCTAATTATGAAAAAATAGGAAATTTGTCATTTCAGGAAGCATTTTCTAAACATATTCCTACATACAGCCACGGGAGGGCACTGCTCCCTTGATAAAACATGTCAGATTCAGTTGAGAGCACACGCCTGTATCACAGGTCAATCTATACCTTTGGTTATCTCTTTGTTGTCCGTGAGGCCTCCACAGAGAGAAATGGCAATGGAGGGCAAATCTCTGGTTCCATCTGATGTGCTTTCAACACCACTATCAGCACCTGAGCTCCCAAAAGACTGCGGAGAATGAGTGGCAGATCGTGGCCCTGTGTCATTTGTGTTTCTGTTTTGTATGTTATCTCCACTGAAAAAGAAAGATCAGACAGTCATTCTTCACGTATCCATTCCCAAATTCTCTCCCTTCAACGTACACTGTTTAGATCAGATGCATGCTTAAGAATAAAGAGAAATAAATTTGCTGGCCTTTGCCATAAAATTTAAACAAAGTAGCACAGATCTCACTCATCCTTAAGAGTTAGACTGCCTTTACTAAATTTCCTAAACTACTCATGTATAATTACAGTTTATTTACAAGAGAAAGGGAAAATAACATACAGTAAAAGCTTAGTGGACAAACTAAGACGGCTATAATCAAAATTTATACTAGGAGAACTGTTCCCAAACAAAGTTTGTGCATTTGTCAGATATGTGTATAAATATTTTGCATATTGAATATGCATATATAAGTATATAAAAGCTATTAAAATTTGAAAATTTTAAGGGGATACTGTTATGTATTATTTCTTAGAATGAAATTTATATAGATGAGATCGTTACGAAGAAACACATGCTCATCAAGTGGCTTTTCCATTCCAGATTTATATGAATGCATTTGAGAATGGAATTTGCAATCCAACCTTCTCCTTCGTATTACTGATCTCTCTATGTTCTGTTGAAACACTAATGTAACAACAGCTGATTTTAAGCAAACAAGAAAAAAGAGAAATGGAAGCCACTTTAATTGTTGCTCAACTACTTTAGTCAAATGTCTAGAATGTGATGGACAAAGAAGACAAGAAACATTAAGAGCAAACATCAGAAACATTCTGATAAAAACTGAAAAAAGTTCCTATTTGTTTGGGATGAAATACTTTTATAAGAAAGTTTACCACACATCATTAAAAAATGATTTTCTAACATATTATTTATAGGTTATCACCCACAGTAGAACAGTATAAGAGCAATAGTTTTATGCTGTTAACAGTAAGCTACATTCTTCTCAGTAATGAGCAAGGACATGGGTATAGATAGATAGATAGATAGATAGATAGATAGATAGATATCCCACAGCCAACTGTTCTCCCAGGGCACGTGAGTAACACCCACAAACATCAGAGTACATTACATCACAATCCACAATCAATATATGATGCTTGGTTCACCAAAACATAACATCAATTTTGAGCACAGCTGTTAGGCCCAAATACCAAGCCACCTAAAAGCCTGGTGAAGACTGAAAGAAAAAAAACTTCCTTTTGAAGAAGAGGCCTCATTTCATTAGCACAAACAATTTCAACTCAGAGGAAAAGGAAGAAAGCTGCACAAACAGCAGAAATATAAGCAAACAACTTATACTTTTTGGGGAAGTAAAGCGCAGCAACTTCTGGATCCATGTCAGTAAGGTCATCTAAATAGACACCATCAGCACCAAGATGCCGGCTTCGTTTGTCTGTAAGGGATGGTAGAAATAAGTCTATTAACAAGTCTCTTCTGAGTAAGAAGTCTGAACTGTAGTTGCTATTTAGCTATTCATTTTAGGACAGAGAAAGAAGACAAGTCGTAACAGTCTGTGAACTACAGTTGCATAAAATAGTACTGCTAAAGTTTCAAAACAAGTTGCTTGTATACATTGCTCACACTTGGAACACACAAATGGGAAAACAGAGGACAATTCTGAGATATGCTGCAGCTTTCCTCTTTCAGAGGAAACCACTAGGAATTACAAACCATTGGTCACTAACTTGGGCTTTTTTCACTTCAAAGACACTGAAAAGATTGGGAAAATTGCTATAAGTTTGTATGTTTACCGATAAAACGCACCTGCACAAACCAGGCTTACATAGAATTTTCATAATTATAGGATAATCAGAGTTTTAAAATGTAACATTTTGTAAGCAAGTATATTTTATATGAAGACTAACACTTCCAATAAAATACTGTAGGTATAGATCCAAAAAATTAGGAAACAAATGCAGACATCTCACAAATTTAAGACAAGCTGCATACTAAGAATATATAACTAAAATTGCTCAATTTAGTTTAGACCTTAATTTAGAGTAAATCTATTGTTTGTGTAAAATACATGCTACATCACTGTACAAGAACAGAGAGACTCAACAAGTATCAGCCATGCACAATCACTCTGAAAGTGGTCAGAGCAAATGAATCAACAGATCTAGAGTGGGAACGTGCCAAAAACAAGATCTCTGAATTCATCCACATTTGATGAATTTGGAGCAAATTTTGCAGCCTTGCCAAATGAAAACTTCTGTCCTTCTATACTGTGAGCAACTCAAGTTTTGAGGGTTCTTTGTAAAATTTATTCCTTTCCAGGTCTGAATGTGTCCTAAGGGCACAGATTAATTTATATGGCAATGGAGTGCTTTATCACCATGAACTTTAAAAAAATAAAATCATACATGTAAATATGAAGAATCAACAGTTTTACCTTTCCTTCTGGAAGGGGAGTCCATCTTGCCAACTGCCTGAGCTGAGCAAACCACAGCTTGTTTTATATCCTCATTGGCAGGCAATGATGGTACAGCTGCTCCTGCAGATTCTGTCTCTGGCTTATTTGTCTCAGCTGGCGAGGGCTCAGTTTCATCAGCAGTTGCTGCATCTCTCTGTCCAAGGGCAGGTAGAGGAGACACACCATTAAACTCCTCTATAGGAGCACTCTGGATGACCCGAAAGTGAGTGCTTTCAGAAGGATTTACATCTATCGTGTTGGGTTCCTTAGCTTTGATCAAAGAACTCGCCTGTAAGGAAAAAAAAAAAACAAAACAGACTGCTATACAGAAAAGCTCTTCAAAAAATGCAGTAGTTTCCTGTCCAACACAAGATCAGATTCTCAAGGTGAGCAAGCCACAAATCAGAGTTTGTTGCTTCAAAATACAAAAGCCTTTTACTGTGCTATTTGCTTGTAAGTATGTTTTAATATATATATGTTATATATACACACACGTATAAAGATAGTATAACGCAGCTGCATCTTGGGTCCAGGAAAATTTTGTTCTGCAGTCCTCATCTCCCACACACCTACGTGAGAGCACATCACAGCTCCCACCTGACCTCTTCTCTTTCAGCACAAACCCCAGCTTTGCCTAGAAAGTAACCCTGACAAACATTGTTGACTAGAGTTCTCATACAATCAGGATGCTCCCAAGGAAAAGGATGTGTGTTGCTGTCACTCATCAATACTCCAGGTTAAGATTTTTCAGCACTCCACAGGCACAATTCTAGATCTCCCCAGAGTGCAAGACATGAGGCGTTCTTACAGAAGAGAGCTGTACTACAACAGCAGCTGTATGGCTGCTATAACCTTCATGTCAGAGCAAGTAAACATTTACAAGGCAATGAACAGTATCCTAAGTTTAACTCCTGCTTCAGACATGGCCAGATAAATTCACAATAGCTTGGTTAGTGACATAGACAGGGATTGCAAAGGGAAGAGTTTCAGAGAATAAGATCTGCAAGGCCTACTTTACTGGCCTGCATAGCCTGAGTTCTGTCCCTTTATTCTGCTCCTGTCCCATCGCTCCCCACAGTCCTTCCTGCAGAAAAGCCAGCCTTCAACAGAAGGAACCCGAAGCTGCACTTTCTGTGCCCCCATAGCTGTAACATGTCCTTGTAACTAGCAATAGGACAAGAGGAAAAAGGCCTCAAGTTGCACCAAAGGAGGTTCAGATTGATATTAGGAATAATTTCTCCTCAGAAAGAGTCGTGAGGTATTAGAACAGGCTGCCAAGGGAGTTGGTGGAGTTACCATCTCTGGAAGCATTTAAGGAAAGGGTAGATGTCCACCAAACCTGTGCTTAAGTACTACAACAGAACTAGATGATCTTAGAGCTCTGTTCCAACCTTAACAATTCTATCATGTTTGTTTCTCTCACATGCAGGCAGGTACAAATCCTCAATCTCTTGTTCTGAATGAATGCTCTGACTCAGAAGCTCCCATAAGGAGACAGACACACCTGACCAGCAGCATACTCAGCTGCACATGGCTTCTATGCAGCTTGGCAGACAATGCTGCTGGCACACCACAGATCCTGCTAACTAGCAGGGCCCTCAGAAAAGCCAGATGGCCTCAGGCTGGACATAGGCACCAAGCCAGTCGAGTTGGGGTGTCCAAGAAAGCAGCACATCTGGGCACGTGAAGATTTGTAGACAATTGCAGGTGTTTCAGGATATATACATACACTCAAACAGCCACTTTCATTTTTTGTGAATCAAATTGCTAACGCCAAGAACCTACTTTGCATCTAAGGCTCTTTAGGAACAAGATGCAATTTTCCTACTTAACACCTTACAATTCCATGGGAAAATGGGAGCTCTTCCCCCTTCAGGAGCCTGCAATAAAGGAAACACATTTGCCCAAAACACAACAGATGCCAGCAAGGAATTAAACTGATGACGTCACATACCTTTGTAGCCTGTGGTAGCTCTCCCCAGGCCCAGTGCATGTGTGGATTCTTTAGTCCACTCCTGTCTGTAGGTTTACTGACTAATTCTGAATCACTTTGAGGAGTAGGAGGACGTGAGCCTGATGGGCTGAAGAAAAATAAGCAAAAAAGAAGTAGTACTTATTACAGAAATACTACAAAACCAAAGAAAAACATGACACAGTAAATACATTACAAATTGACATGCACTGGTCCAAAGTGTTGAAAGTTTTATGATTATTATCAGCCAAATGAGAGAGTATGAAAGCATGGAAAAACATTTCAAACAGTTCAGGATCTTCTTAATACTAGCACACAGTGGTCTCATCATCTGCCATTTTTTAGTGACTGCCATCACAGAAGCAGCTTTGAGAAGATGAAAAAGATGAGACAAGCACAGGACCTGAACATTTCAGAAGATTTCTTTTCCTGTGTGAAAAAAAAAAAAGAATTTGGAATGGGGATGGCACCAGAAGCAGTAGATGAAGAGATGTTAGTACTGTTATAATGGACATGAAGCATACAATTGATTCACTCGAATCAACAAGACACCTTACCTTGACTAAATAATAAATTAACTTAAAGGTATTCAGTTTATTACTTCTTTTTACTGACTTGTTCAGTTCTGTCCCCATATACATGTTTATACGGAAAACAGCAAGAGCAACACACAAAGAAGTTGAGTGATCCTAGCAGAAAAATATTTAACTCTTTGTTTTGCTGTACTGGAATATAAAATCATTTATTTATCAGGAGTTATCAGTTTTGTAGCACATTTTTAATGTGAAGTCAACAAAGTGAAGTCAAGTTAGTCTTTAATAAATGATTCACTGATTTCAAGGGTAAAAGGAAAAATCATAATTATCTACTCTGCCTTCCTGCATGATGCAACTCCTAGAATTTCACCCCAAAATCTCTGAAGAAAGCACATTATTTTTTGAGCCACAGAATTTATGGCTGTTTGAGCAATCATTGGTATATTCATTCAATCTTGATTCACAAACCACAAGAAAAAAAAAAATCCACAACATTCATAAATGAAAGGTTCAAAGCTGAGTTATCTTCACTGTTAAAAAGCTTTCCACATTGGTCCAAATCCTTCATGTTTGATTTTTTATTTTTTTTTTTTTTAATTTTACCTTCTTCTAAATAAATGGAATCCAAACGAATATCCAAAATAGCTTTGCTCTTCCAACACAGGGCAGTTTTGTAGAGCACGGTGGGTTACAGGCACTGGTTACAGGTGAATAATTACTATACACTCTCACAAAACAGCTTTGAAAGACCTGTGAACCTCAGTCCTGACTATTATCAACTTTATCTGCATTATTGCTTGTTTCTAGCTCTGCTGCACTAGGACATATCTTGAATACAGAAACATGAATTCTCTTCAGCTACAAATAATTAAACTACTGAGTTTATAAAAGGACCAAAAATGGTTTCCCACAGTGATGTCCAAGAATTTCAAATACTCATTAGTCCATAAAGTACCATCTGACAGATGAAGGAATTAATGAAATACGTTGTAAAAGGCAACTTCAAGCTCCGAGGATTTAAGAAATGCCTGGCAGCATTTTCAACATCTTTCACTATCCCACTAGCAAATTTGTAGAACTGGCAATACGCATCTAGGGCCCACTGGAAGTTTACATGTTAGGAACCTGGACACTTCAGAAAGTCTTAGCCAACAACGATGCTTCTATTGCAACCTTAAGCTCCAAAAATCTAACTTCAAGGAAGCATTATCACCACCCTAGTCAGGGTATTATAAACATTTTAATTTTCAAAACACCTACTCTGCTTCAAAATAGCCTTCTGTCCAGGCTTTGGGATGTATTCAGCTCAAGCTCCCTCCTTACTCAACCAGACAGCTGAAGAGAATGCAGGCATTAATTCAGTTTGGGCTAGCAACTGCATTTTACAGTGAGAATACAGACCAAGGAGCAGAGCATAGGGGCCTTGCATTTCCCAGAATTTTCTCTGAAAACACAGTTTTCCTATACACACAACTAAGTGAAGAAGAACCATGACATTTATTCCCAGACATACACACGTAGGTGCTGGAAACAGCATACATTAATACAGAGTTCTGCTCTGAGAAAGCTCCTGATGCAAAAGGATACTACACACTCTCCTAAAACAGAGCACACACCATCTCCTGAATTCTCAACACAAGTACGATTCCCATTTTATATGGAACAAATACTAACACAATTTCAGAGCAGACCATAATTATCGTCGCAATGGCATCTTAATGTAAAAGGTTTGATGTCAAATCAGAATGCAAACATATCTACAAGGCAAAGAGAATAAATTACGGTCTTGTTTATAAAAAAGAATACTAAAACATTCTTATCTTTTATATAATCTAGAATAGAAGCTGGGATTTTCCAAGCCATCAAGAAACATCAGCATGGAGTTAGAGACCTTCCAGTGAGAGCTGTTTTTCTATTAGAGAGAAATATCCTTCTTCTTACTTTATATGCTATCTTGTTCAACACTCAGCAGCCACTCTCTCCCCACATAATACCCTTCTGGAACAGCAACAGTAGTTTGTGTGTGCAGATGGCAATTATGCAAACTATAGCCTTGCTTGTTTACTGTCTGTTTGCATAGTTCTGCCTCCATGTATGTGACACCAGATTTGTCTCCTTTATCTGTGCAAGGACTATTTTAGCAGCTATTTCCCTCAAAATATCGCTACCAAAGTAACATCATACTGGAGACTAATAAAGCTCACAACCACTTTTTTTTTTTTTTTTTTTTGCTCCACTATCATAGAATCACCAAGGTTGGAAAAGAATCATTCAGTCCAACCATCCACCTACCACCACCATTTCCCACCAAACCATGTCCTTCAGTCATAGAAACATTCCTTGAACACCTCCAGGGTGAGTGATTCAACCCCTCCCTGAGCAGCCCATGCAGCACCTGACCATTCTTTCAGAAGTATTTCCTAAAGTCCGACCTGAATCTCCCCCTGTGCAACTTGAGACCCTTCCCTCTAGTCCTATTGCTACTTACAATGGAAGAAGAGACTGAAAATACTATCTGAAATCCAACGTTGGATTAGTGTTATACTTGCACTAAGAAGGTCAATAAAGCTGAACTGCAAGATCACACAGGATTTGTAATTCAGTGATAGTAATCTAGAAGCAAATCCCTAAATAAAGGACTCCAAAGGATTTTTATTTCTTACACCGTCAAGACATTTGTAACTCAGGCCAAGCTATTCCTTGCCTTTCATACAATTCTTCTGTCCTCAAGTCAGGCACTGACCCAGCCCAGCTGAATTTCTACCCCCTTCTACAGATTGCTGAGGATACTGCAGATCAAACTAGAGCGACCAGTCCTGTCAGCAGTGCATAAGAAGGGCAAACTCAACTCAATCATTTAGATAAACATACCCAATCCACACATCCAATCCATAAACACTGAATGCTGGTGTCCCAGACCTATAGATTTCTTCATACAATCTGTGCATGCTCTGAATGTAGTCTGATGTCAAAGAATTAGGAACTTGGGCTGTGGCTAGCAGCTCTATAGCAGGAAACCACACTTACCTAAGAAATGCTTCCTACTGAAAGCAAGGAAAGCCCAAGAAAACAGCAGTGTGATCTGCAAAAAAGTCCTGACTTGACTGAAGTCAAATAAACTGCAAAAAGATAGGCAGAAGAAAAGGGAGGCACCTCATTTACATTCCAGAACAACTGTTGAGAGTCTCTGAACTTCCTTTTGAGTGGTCACAGTAGCATTTCTGATCTCATACAGAAGAAAGGAGTTGTAGACACAGAGAGGGCCTTATCTAGACCAGTCACTACAGCACTTTAGCTGCAAGTCTCGACTTCAGGAGAGCTAAACTCCAGATCAAATTTGATGGAGCCATACAGGGCACATTATTTGTTCAAGGCCCACTTGTGCACACGCTCTACCATCCCATGACAAATACTGGGGAGAACATCCCAGACTACCCCAGGATTTCACACAGAGTAGCTATTGTTACAGCTGTTTAGGCTATAAAGAGTAGATCTCCAAGCTGGGAAACCCTCAAGATTATCAGTTTTTAATACCGCCTCAGGTATCTAGCATGGTATCTATGTTGAGATAAGCAATGAGCAATTTAGCCTCATTCACTACTCAAAGCTACTCCCCAGCACTAAAGGAGAATCGAGACCATATTCAGACACATACTTTAGAAGGTTTTACTTAGTTGCTGTAAGATCTCTACACTGACTGGAAAGAAAGGGCCTGGCTGCAGAACATTGAGACACCTTGAACACAAGACATCAACAAGTATCTGTATCCACTTTCTTATCTTTCAGATAAGAAAGTCCAAGGTCAGAGGAGGCCTACACTACAGCAAAGGCATAACTGTGGGTCTCCCATGCTTTAGGCTCTACCTGGTGTGCCATCTTTCCTCCTAAGATTCCACCCCATTCTAATCCAACGTGCTGAGAGTATTTCAAAACAAGAAACAAGAGGAAAAAGGTTCTGTTTTGATATTTGGCTCCTCCCAGTACAAATTCTGCTTCCTTTATTTCTCAGTTTTGAAAGCTGTGTTTTGCTTTTACTTTTTCATCACCAGCAAAAGTAAACTCCTCAGTAAAAACAATGGATAAAAATATCATTTAAACATACATTAACAGTAAAAAGACACACCGAAATGCCAGTCTTTAGAGGAATTAAAGACTTCATTCACTAAGTTCTTTCTCCTTTTTGGGGGGTATCATCTTAATCAACTTAGCTTTAAACTAGGCCTTCAGTGGCCTGATTTTATGAATACGTTAGCTACCCTCATTCAACGTGTGATTCAAGGCAACCTACCTGCAGTCAGTGCTCACAAAGAAGACAGGAAGTAGTTTTCAAAGTCACTTTCATTAGAAGTGTCTGGGTTAGCAATGAGTACAGTTATAAATACAGCAAAGTTCATGTGCAATTAATGTGCCAAGAGCATATTAATGCATTAAAAGGATTAAAGAGTAGCACAGAAAAGCGGGAGAACAACTGTTCTACCTGTCTGGAGGAGAAAAATGAGAAGACTGATGAGGACAAGAGTTAGATAGGCCACCATCTGCTGGAACAGTGAGAAGAGAGGATTGCCCTGTGCAATCTATAGGCTTACTGGACAACACAACATGTTGGTAAGAAAAAAGAAATAATACAGTGTCATTATTCACAACAACTAGTGCTGATTAACATAAGCTCTTTGTGTATTAGCTACATGAATGATGAATTTACATCTAGAGTTTTCGAAATACAGAATATTGCAATCCAGAAATAAACAGAACGTACAGTACAAAAAGCCAATGAGGAGGCAGGGTACTGACACATAATATCACCAGCTAATCTCATTAAGCCCTACAATCAGTGTAGAAAATTTATTATAGAATGCAATATAAAACATCTAAATTAAGCCTTTAAAATCATTTCCTTGCTTTCCTTTCTTCCATTCCTCACACAGAGGCAGTTCATTAAGATAAGACATACCATAAAGTTTTATTGATACTACCCCACTTGAAGATGTGTACAGCCACATAAACACACACACACACACACACACACACACACACACACACACACACTTCATTCTTATTTTAATGAATGCAACTGACAACAAGTAAAAAGTTATCAATTTCTGATGGTATTTCCCAAATACCAGGAATGGACGTGAACATTCATTTAAAAAAATAGAATATACACGAAGTGCTTAAGGTTTTACATCTCTGCATTGACTGAAGTCCTTAGAAAGTATGTGCATCAGGCAAAGATTCAGTTTTGACAACACATACATCCTCTCTGAAGTACACACATCTGTTAATACCACTGTCTGCACATAAGCATTCTTTAGAATTTGTGGGCCTGAATTTGTATGCATGTGTTTGTTGAATCAAGGGCAGAGTTAACCTGAAATTGTTCTACAGTATCTGATTTCATCTAGCAATTGACAGTGATCACGTTTGATACCAAAATTTTCATAAGACTTCATATAGCACTAGCGTGTAAGAAATTAATGAAAAGAGGACTGTACCATCAAAAAATTACCTTTGAATAGGTGACCACTCCCCATCTGAACGAGGGTATGATGAAGACTGAGAATAAGTAGAAACAGCAGGAGCCTTTATATCAGATACGTCATCAACAAACACATCTGGAACAAGAATCCTAGGAAAAGACATGACATTAAAAAAAACATTTAATTACTCAACTTTTACATACTACAGACAGCTGTGGGGGATTAAAGGGGGGGATAAACACCTACTGCAAAGAAGAATTGGCTTAACCTGAAGTAAAAAGACAGAGACATGCCATCTGATTCACACCTTCCTAGTCCACAGCATGACTAAAGACTGTGTTGTTGTTTTTTTTTTTTTTTAAGTGCCATTTTCATCATTTCTTTTAGTAGTATTCCTGATAGCTTTCTAGCCAAAAGCTGTTTCTTAGAGAAACATGTTTATCAACCATGTGTACCAACTTTGAAATTACTGTCAGAAGGTACAGAATGGAACATTAACCCTGCTTTAGGTTTCCATTATAAATCTCCATTCCACTGTGATACCTTGAATTGTCCAATGGTTCCTTTTCTTCCTCTGAGCTAATCTCTATAGGAAACATGTCTTCATCTTCTGATGTGTCTCCAATGTCTTCTCTTTTTAAGCTGTCTATTTTGTGGGTAGACTTCCTCCTCTTTTTCCTCCTCTTTTTCACAGAGCTACAGACTGGAGATGTTTCATTACCAGGCTGGGATCCATGAGCTTGGGGTGGTACCTGTGAAGATACACTGTTGTCCAGGTTTCTTATCCTGTCAATTGAGTTCCTCTTCAGCTGAGCTTCCATTAAAGCAGTTCCCTCAGACAGAATGGGGGACGTAGAGAGATGATAAGGAATTACTTCCTGAGAAAGAAGAAATCAAAACCATGCAAAAAAGTTAGTTCTTTTGTCAGTCATAAATACAGATCTAAAATCCACACACAATCATAAAAATTTAAGGCATTCGTCCCTTAGAAAAGTAACAGTGATTTGATGTCTGGAAGCTCAGCAAGATCTTATAGTACAACAGAAACTGGTCTACAGCTGCATCTCCTTAGACAAGCCAAGAACAATACTCTAAACAAAACAGATCCTCTCAACATCCTGATATTAGCCAATTTACAGCACGGATCTCTTCTCTTGAGTAGAAATGAAACTAGTTTGTTTGTTTTTTTTACCTGAACATTCCATAAAATCCAATTCTCCTTCCAAAATCAGATGAAGACACCAGTCAGATAGGTCAGCAGTTTATTACTAGGTCACACAAGCATATGCTTACACAATAACATATATATATATATAATATATAAAAATATAGAGGGGGACAATTACATAATACATAATAATACACATTACATAATGTGTATTCCATCAGAAGAGGGTAGCCAGCAGGGACAGGGAGGTAACTGTCCCCCTCTACTCTGCTCTTGTGAGGCCCCATCTCAAGTACTGTGTCCAAGTCTGGAGCCCCCAGTACAAGAAAGACAGAGAACAGTTGGAGAGGGTCCAGAGGAGAGGCACAGAGATGATCAGGGGACTGGAGCACCTCCCCTGTGAAGACAGGCTGAGGGAACTGGGCTTGGTCAGCCTGAAGAAAAGAAGGCTGTGGGGTGACCTCATTACAGCCTTTCAGTACCTAAAGGGAGCCTATAAACAAGAGGGGAATCAACTCTTTGAAAGGGTTGATAACTGCAGGACAAGGGGAAATGGTTTTGAGAGAGGGAAGATTTTGGTTGGACGTCAGGGGGAAGTTCTTTACAGAGAGTGGTGAGGTGCTGGAACAGGCTGCCCAGACAGGTTGTGGATGCCCCGTCCCTGGAGGTGTTCAAGGCCAGACTGGATAGAGCCCTGGGCAGCCTGGTCTAGCATTAAACGGGGAGGTTGGTGGCCCTGCATGTGGCATGGCAGTTGGAGATTCATGATCCTTGAGGTCCCTTCCAACCCTGGTCATTCTGTGATTGTGTATGTGTCTAAAGACTAAAAGAAGTGTTTGACTGAAAATGCCTAGAAATAACTATTAACAGATAGTTAATATAGACAAATACAAAGATACAGAGATGTAAACTGTGCAAGTACACAAATCTCACCTGAAGCTAGTATCACTACACTCTGTAGAAGCATTTGAGAATTCATTCCACTTTAGACAGTAACAAAAATTAAGGGCTTTTCTGATAGATTACTTCACACGTGGACTACTCAAAACAAGTGTGACTGTAACTTACACAGGCTAGTACTTAATTCCACAGTTCAAGAGCAGAAATTCTCATTTAAATACAATTCCACATGAATTGTAGTTGCAACATCATGTGTTTTGTGAGTACCACAATTACTCTGTGCACAAACGTTTACAAGGCATGTGCACTTTATGCTGACAGTCCGCTGAGTGTATGTGTTCAAATTCATTATTTCTGAGAGACAAAAAGAAGTTGTGATAATAACATTCTCTGCTGTACGCATCCTTGGATCACATGAACTGTGTACATGTTATTTCTGTTCACACACTGAAATGCATATAAGCCTGTAATTTTTAGTTATGTGATGATTTTCTTTAGATTCTTTCCAACCTCAGCAATCAAGAAAAAGGTTAGTACTGAGTTCCAATAGCAGAAAAATGCCCAGAAACTTTCAACTTACAGAATGAATAAAAAATACATTTTTCAACAAAATCTCTACATTCAGAACTGACTTCGAAGAGCACTGTGTTTTAACAAACCTGATAATTACCTGATCATTATCCATCTCCTGGACAAAAAAGGCTTCTCCATTGTCTCCTAGTTTCATGTGCAAATCTACAGCCTCTCCATTAATTTCTATGTCAACCTGGAAGTCAGTAACATTTTTAAAAATTAAAATAATATTGTTATAGATACGCAGTTCCTGTTCAGCTATCCTACCATTTGTCAATGGACAAATACTTCTCAGTGAAGTGTAGGAAGCCTTTTCATACACAAAAAATACTCCACTATACTTGAAGGGGCTAGAGAATTTTCTTGCCCTTCACAAGGCCATCAGTTTTCAAGATGCTGCCCTAACTTGTTCAGCTCATTGTTGTCTAGCTCCCCAGGAAGGTTTATAGCCATTACATAAAGCCCTGAATCTTTTTTAATTGAAATTCTAGATGCTTCATTCGCCACATAAATCTTTTCTCTCTTTTAATTCACAGCCTAATTTTTCAGAGTGCAGAAAGTGCTTCCACATATAAATTTCTAATATCCTGCCTTTCAAATTAAACAGGTACTATGAGAAGCAAAAACAAAAATGGATTTTTATTCTCAACACGATCCACATATTGATTCCTTCCATGCATTTATCTCAGTGCTGTATAGCACCAACCATTTCCATTTCTTCTCAGGAACATTTCTCTCTTTGCTTATAGCCATTTTTGCCACTATCTTCTTTTTTACTATATTTACAGAGGCAGATTTGGACAACCTACATTTACTTTTCCAGAAATTGTACATGTTTGGCATAGTAACAATTTCAACTGTTATCCATTCTAAATGTTTGCATTCCTTTTTTGATTCTGGTGAGACTTAAAGACTGATGACATTTGAATTTTTCTGCTGAATAATTACAGATACACTCTCAACTTAGACCATATGTGCTTATGAATTATTTCCTGAAATAATCATGCATTAGTCACTGGCAATTTCGGAACCCATACTTTATGGCCAGGTCTTTCAGCTTGATTACATTTATCTGAAGTTCTCACTGCTTTTTCTAGCTTTGATTTATCTTAATATTCTTTACCTGAAAAATATTACTTCATTGTAAATCCCCCTTTTTTTTTTTTTTAATAAATACCAATGCACATATTATAAAAAGTCATCTTACAACGTAGTCACTAATGAAATTGAGAATATGTCCAAATTAGCACATTCACAGTTTTGCGCTGTTGAAAGTAAACACTACAAATGTCATGGTTCCTTTCTATTATTACAGACAACGTCTTATAAATTATGCTTAGAAGTGTGGCAGTCTGTAATAATTGTTTTAAGTGACAATTGCTTCAATTTGAGCACCTTGTAAAGAATGTCCAAAGAAAACTTTGACTAGCATACAGAGTATCCAGTAAATTTCATACCATTGTGTGGTATCAACTCAAATCACAGACAGAATATATCCAACGTGTCAGTTCTTACCACTTTCTCCCTGGAACGCAGAACTCCCATTTTCCCAAAGCGGACGTGGAAAGGAGAACACTGAAGATTTCCATCTGGCTGACGTACAACAATGACATCGATACATCCCGACAGCGTGGCTGGGTTTAGTCCCTTGTAGAGCTCCTTCACAGTTACAAACACTTGCCCTGCTAACTGTCCAACGTAGTTCATGGTTTGGACCTGAAAAGCAAGAGAGAAGACAGATTAGGTTTGGAGCTCTGCTTTAAATTTTAAAGACATTTGAGATCGAGACATTTTACATTCCAGCAAGGGTTATTCTCTCATTTCATTAATTAATAACTTCACATGAAATCAGGATTTCTCAACCACTTTATTTAGAGCTGACGTAGGTGTCAAGAGCTATCAAAAAACAAAAACAAAAGAAACCTCTCAGTATTATAACAACTTCCAAAAGTTCGTAACATTAGTTGCATTTAAAACCACAGTCAGACTTTCAGACTGCAGCTCATAAGAGTTTCTACTTCATCGCTGAAGACAAAAGCATTATTGCAGCACAAAACATCTCCTTCTATCATTTATTGTGCTCTAAAAATGGAATATATTTTTCTCGTGTATTTCTACAGGCTTTTAAGAGCAGGGCAAGGGATGGTTCTAAGTAGATCTCCTTTTTCACTGCATTAAAGACAAAGGCTATTCTCCCACTTAGCTGAGATTTCTGCTGTTAGAAGTATATTGCAAGGCACATGTGCAAAACGTACACAATATGGTTTGGCACTCTAGAGCTTCTGAACTTTGGAGTGCTTTCTAAATACAACTCTACCAATCTTTTAGAATATTTTTTTAGTACAAGCAGGTTTATTAAAAATGAAGCACGTGTTGATGGTTAAAGTGATTGGCTGGTTGGCTTTATTTCTCTTCCTCTCCCAATTAGTACAGATTCTCCCTTCTTAATACATATTCTCATCACACACAGTCCCTATACAAGACACTTATAAATCCAACAAGTCCTTTAAGGGCTCACAAAATATGAATGAATTTAAGCACATACTCTCCAGAACACTAGAAACTTCAAGCACTGTATGATTTCCTTTGTTTTTTCCAGTACCTCTTGCAGATCCTGAGATAGTGATTTCAAGATTATCCTTGAAGGCTCAGTATGTGCGCTTAGAATGCCTGGCATACAAGTCCTCTACAGGGCTGCACATCACCTGGACACCAACAGAGAGGGCAGGCAATGGTAAAACTCACACTGCTAATGAGAACAGAATCAAGCTCAGTCCGAGACAGTCACTGCATTGAGCTGCACAGCATGCATTAAGCAGCAGCTCCAACACAGGCTTCTTTCAGCTAGGTTCTCTTGGTAACAACAAAATGATGCAAGTATGAAATGATTCAAAAATAGCTCTGATTTTTAACAGTGATTTATATTTAGAAGCAAACAAACAAAACAAACAAAAAAAACACAACTATTAAAAGAATGCCATGAAAACTGACCTGTCTATTTCAAAGTGTTTGGCACTACACAAAATGTTAACTGCTGAAATCCATAAATCTGCACTCGGGCACCTAGAAAATGCCACTGACAAGTCAACATGTGAAAACTTAATAGCAAAGGGTCATTATATTCAATTCTCCAGTATCCAACTCGCAGCAGCATCCTGGGATCCTACAATAAGTACATTAGTAACATACTTTTCCTAAACATATATCCACCAGAGAGCTGTTGCAATGAGAACTTTAAACTCATGATGCACCTTGTACTGTGTCATAATTGTTGGAACAACAGCTTAGAAAGGCTTCTAGAGCCCCATATATACCACAACTCTGCTCAAAGGAGGGTCAGCTTGGCCCAGAATGCCAATTGAGCTCTCACCGCCTCAAGGATGGAGATTTCACAGCCTTACCAAGCACCTGTTGCCACATCCTCATAGTAAGGATTTTCTACCCAGTATCTAACCAGAATTTCCCAAAACTTGTGTCCTTTGCCCCCTGTTTTTATCACTCTGCACCTCTGAGCAAATCCTGGATGCTTCTTGTACTCTCAGCAGGTTGCTGACTGCCCTAAAGATTGAGCAGAACTAGCTTTCCAAGCCTCTCCCTGCATGTCATAAGCTTTAGCCCCCTAATTATCTTCATAGCTCCCATGTGAGCTCTTCTAGAAGCCAGCACTACACACAGTTGCTGTTAGTAGGGTTTTTTTTAGTTATTTCTTTGCTTTGGAAAAATACTTCCAATTTCTATGAAGGATTTGTCTTAGCTAAATAAGAAATGCATTTCTTGTTGCACTAGCATTAAACTTAAAGCTGGCTACATTTAGATTCCAAATTACATGGTTTATTTGACACCAATTGACGGCTGGCCTGCATAAGCAACAAAATTTCTAGGTGCAACACAGCTATAACTTCTATAACTTCCTTTTCCTTGGTGAAGGAGTACTTGCTGGGACTTGACATACACCTGCTTGTTGGGAGGGTTACGGGTAACCAATCCAGATAAAGAGAACTCACACATTCTCTTAACAAGTTACATCAGCAGGTCCCCCTCAACTCCTCAAAGGAGAATTATGGAACTGCCCTCACACTGCCTGCCCTGTCTTAGTACACAGATTATTTTTATGCTGGTGAATTAAAAGTGAGACACTATCCTCAAGCTCTGTGGCCAAGCAAACAGCACAGCTTGCTTTCATACAGTGCAAGCCTCTTATCCCTATTAAAAAAAAAAAAAAAGCCACATTCAAATGGTTAGCTAGTGGCAGACACTCAGTCCAGACTGGGCTGAACCTGATCCATGCTGTAAAATCATTGCAGTATTAAAAGAGGATGACAGATTAATCCCATGGGAATCACACAAAAATGGTTTCATATTTCTAACATACGGAGCAAAAGGGAGTTCTAACAGGAGGATAGTTCAGAAAGATAGCTCAGACTCAAAAGACTCAACATGTGGGCCCTTTGTCCTAGCTTTTGCACATACCCACCAAAGCTGAGATTGATTGGACAACCTACAGTCAGGCCATACTGTGTCAGCACTCCAGGAAACACACATTCCTGAAACTCCAGAGAGGCTGCCTGTGGTTTTGGTGCAACATTCACTCCAGCATCTCCAATACATCTTTCACACACTAACCAGGCAGTAGTGATTTCAGCAGTAAGCACAACTTTACATCATGGGTCTGTTTGTTAACTGCTTGTTAACATCACTGTCTGCTTGTTAACTACACTGGATTTAGCAAAACTTGTTTCTCATACTGTGGAAGCAAGCTAGTAGACAAAGCATAAACTATTTTTTGCTGCTGGGAAAGTTCAAAATCCTTTTGATCCAAGCTTTCAGCAAGTGAGAGTAGCCTGTAATGCTTCTGCCATTATTCTCAAATGGTCTGAAACACTCCACAGGCCCAAATGATTCATCCATTATGAAATTAAAAATATTTTCTAGCATTATTTTTCATGTCAAATTAACTACATCCCCTACTCAGAGAACAACTCCAACCTTTTTTTTTTATTATTAAGACAGCCATCATTTTTCAGAATTTATTGTTTTGTGGAAAATATGTGAAAAAATAAAGCACTGGGTGCTACCTTATTACTTAAGTAATTAACTTAGCAAAGAGTAGCCTTAATAGTATCATCTTCAGCCCTTCCTGAAGTTCACAGAATCACAGAATGGCCAGGGTTGGAAGGAAACTCAAGGATCATGAAGCTCCAACCCCCCTGCCACATGCAGGGCCACCAACCTCCACGTTCAATACCAGACCAGGCTGCCCAGGGCCCCATCCAACCTGGCCTTGAACATCTCCAGGGACAGAGCATCCACAACGTTTCTGGGCAGCCTGTTCCAGCACCTCACCACTCTCTCTGTAAAGAACTTCCCCCTGACATCCAACCTACTGCTCCAACTCTACTGGATGCCCAATCTAGTTCAAAAGCACCATCACCTGAATCATCTGCTTCTTTTGTACAGGTACACCAAGCTGTACACACACATTGGGAGAGGTGGTAATTGCACCCTTCCTGCCTCCTTCCTTGCAGCCCAGCTCTTCCCCCATACCATTCCACCTTTCTTTGCTGGATGTTGTACAATAAAACACTGAAAGTAATCGCAATTAAAGACACTATCACTGTGCTTGTGTCCTAATTAGTAAGTAAAAGCACATCACAGAGCCCATCATTACAATTTGATCACCTAGACTGAATCTATTCAAACTACAAAAATCTGGTACATTTTCGGCACCCAAGCAATTCCTTGGTAGCTGGCCCTTCATCAGACAGACAAGAGATGTGTCCAAAAGAGCAGTTTAGATGTAGTCACCTTCCTTAAAAGTTAAGAGAGCTTCAATGCACAGATGCAAGCAGACTGAACTAGCTTGTCTGTCTGCCAAGAATGGCCTTTGGCATCCTTTTGTACTTTAGCATGAGTACAATATTTAGTTCCACAAACTGCAGAGTTCTTTGCAGTTGCACAAAGAAGATGTGCAGCAATGGTAAATGTAACACAAACGAAACGTGCAGCACAAAGGAACACACAACATTACAGACACACTTTTCGTTATGGATTTAAAACCTTATGTCATGATGAGACCATAGCTTTCCCAATAAATTTTCCTTATAGCTTTGAAGTGGTGAAAGGGAGCCAGAAACAATTGAGCCAGCATTCAGTTAAGATAAATTACTGCAGCACTGCAGCTCATGCCCACACTATGACAACTTCCCAAGCCCAGTCTACATGGTTCCCTGATCTACTCTTGACTTCTGTTATGGAGATGCAAAGCTTAAGAGAGACTGAATCACATCTGGGGATCAAACTTTGGCTCCTCCAAGGGAATCATTCCTCATACACAGCAGAGTAATTGGCAACACTTAGAGACTCCTAGGTAAGTACTGTCTGCATCATTTCATTTTGTGCCAAACAATTCTTTTCTTGACTCTGAAACAACTCAGGTTTTTTTGCAGTATTGAACAGCAACACCCTCTACATCAATTAATAGAATTCTTCCATTGTATCTGAGCTTACATTCTAAAAACATTGATAACAAAGTTATTCCAGTAAGATTCTCTGGAAAAAAAGCTGGATTTTTTTTTTTCCAAAATTAAGATAAACCCTTCACATCTATATGGTAACTGCACTAGCAGTGACTTCCTAACTGCTAAAGCTCAAGAAAACTAATATTCTACTCTTTTAAAAGCAGTATTTCTATCTATTAGTAAATGATCAACATCTTGCAAAGTCATTAATGCTGAGTCACCATCCCATCCAAACTCCTAAGTTTTACCACATTTCTGGTTAGACTCTGAAAATCATTAATAGCTGAAAACCCTTTGCTTTACTACTTGCTGGCTTCTACATCAATCCAACCCAGGGTCATGGCTATGAGCCCCACTGTGTAGGCACCACGTAGGTTTGTAGCAAACCTCAGTTTAGCTCCATATTTTACAACAAGATTCATATATCATCTTGTCCAAGTTACTAAGGTTGAGATTTAGAGTGTGTTTAACTCCCACTGATTTCAAGTGAAGTCTGTTCTATGTGGCTACATCATAAGGTAGCAGGATACGGACAAACCTTACTAAACAAGACATACTTTTCCCCCATCTAGGAAAGGGAACCTGGACACATAAGCTAGAAGGAAGCCATAAGCAGCCACATTTCTGATATGGACAAGTTGTAGAGTGAACAGTCTGACAAACAGTGCAATTCTGGTTGTTTTACTAATAGGATGACAGACTCTAGACTAAACCTGATTATGCACAGTTTTTCCAGATCTCACCACAGTCACAGCAGTATGAGACAGACCACATTCCTGCAGGTGATTTGACAATGCTTCTGGTCAGCTGGGAACAGGTGCAAGACACTTGCTCATCCTGAACCAGAACAGAACATGCTGCATGTGGCTGGCTTGACACAGGAGTAAGAGCATTCTGCTTCCTGCCAGCAGAAATACTTCAAGGTTAGGATTATTCTGGGCTTAATTCTATTAGGAACAATTTGACTCCTATATGGAGTTAGCCAAGAGCTGTCACTTCTTATAATGTCCACAGAGTCAAACAGATCAAGTGTCGAAGTTATTCTCCAAGCTGCAAGTCATTCCTAGAACCTGCTTACTCACAGATACAGCCTTTAGCTATCTGATGACTATCCTACTTGTTATTGCTGAGATTTTACCACAATCTCTCCCATTTAAAATACTACATTTCTCATATACTTGAGCAAGTTCCCGTAAATAATAGCATACTTCATTGACAGCACCTGAAATCACAGATTCAAACTGAAGACTACAAAGATGCTTGTACTGAATCCTGGCATTCAAACAGAAGGAGGACAAGGCTGGCCTCTTGTCCCATAGCCAGTGTGCCTGAGCCCAAGTGAACTATCTCATGATCAGTTTAAGTCAACAACTGTAGTCTCACACCAGCCTCCCAAATGCACATTCCCAACTTGCCTGGTGGGGACCACTAAAGCCATACAAGTTGGTCTGACACCCACCTGAATTGGTACTGCACAAATACGATCAAACTTCACAACAAATTGAAACTACAAACCAATGTTTGAAACCAAGAGCTTTTGAATCAAGTGGTAGATATATTGTAGATCATGTCCTGTGCTGCCCTGGGTTATTGTTCCAACATCAGAGCAGGAACACAAATGAGAGAGGAGGCACAGCTTTGCTCTGTTCCTTGCTGACTCCTCACATGGCTAGCATCCACTCTTCAGTGGGACTGGAAAAGCAGTTTTCTTTCTGACTATCCTGCCCTATTGTCAGAGCCTAGAAGTAAGCACTTGCTGCATTCTAGATGTTTTTAATGATTGCTGAGCATACATGTGCTCAACAGATAAACAAACACGTACACCTGCACATCTGTAGGTATGGAAAAGGGCTATGACTGAAACTTGCCCAGCTCCCTCACAACCAGACCACACTGAGCCAGGTAAGCAGACACTGACAGGTGACGTGAGCCACCAGAAAGTATCTAAAACCATCAGTAGCTATTTTTATGTCTGTATGCCTAAAACCATCACAACACTGAACCTTCACCCTATCATCTCCTCACTTCCCCTCCAGTTCCATTCATGGCAACAGACTCTGTTCACTGTAACAGGAGCATCTGGCTTCTAACCGACACGATGATGATAGCAAATCCTCACCCACAGACACTAAACATTTGCCAGTAGTTGCTGCCTGAGACAACACAGACGCAGATAAAACCACCGAGAAAACAAAATAAACAAGACACCCCAAACCGCAAACCAAACCAGAGGATAATCACAGCAGAGAGACTCCCGACAGCCAAGTTGAGCTGTATGCACACAGCCGGCACCGTGCCGGCCAGGCCCTGCCCGTGACGCGCTCATCGTGCCACCTCCGAGCAGCGCCAGCCAAACGGCGGCGAATCAGAGCGCTCAGCAAGGAGAAGGAGCTGCCCGCTGGAACCGCGGGACGTCCCGGGCATCCCACCCAGGCATCCCACCCAGGCCGGAGGCACCTGCGGGTCACTCGCCTTCCCTTCCCACCCGCACGGCTCCGAGCCCCGGCTCCCACCTCCGCCGCCAACCCGGCAGCAACCGCCGGACCCGGGCTGCCTCTGGCCGCTCCGCTCCGTTCCCCGCAGCCGCCGCCGCCTTTGTGCGCGCCGCCCGCCGCCGCCACGGCGACACAGCCCGGCGGTACCGCCCCGGAGGAGGAACCGCGGCGGGGCGGTGTGAA